AAGAGCGTTTTTCTCGTTGAAGGGATGCCGAAGAGGCGAACCCAACGCCGTTTTGGTGGACTGGATCCAGCCGTCGAACCTGCCTCAGGGCCAAAGAACCTTGGCGTCCCGCCTGTCCGGCCTGGAGGAGGGAAGAGTTCTGCCCTGCTGTGTCAAAATCAAAGCATGGGACCACAGGTTCACTCCATGTCCATTTAGCAGGGTTCCTATTTGGGTAATCGCGTCGCCTTCTAATTGCTCCAAGTCCATTGCGGGGACCACATGTTTGACTGTGGCTCAGCGAGCTCACAGAGGAATCGTGCTGCTCGTGATGGCATTCGGGGCTTATCCAGCACTCATGGATGTGAGGTGCTGAATGCTACTCGTACCAACCCAGGCTTTCTTCTTGGCAAAGCATAGCGGCCTCTCGATGGGGGCGGGTGCATGAGCTCACCAAGATGCAGCGTCCTTTCTTGAGGGTTTTACTCGGTTTGCAGGTTGGCAATTCATCGTATTTGCCTGGTAGCGGTTCCCACACTGCAGACAATCAAGTCGAAGCAAGCAAAAGGCTCAAGGGCTGAACTGCACTGCCACACGCTGCACTGCCACTTATATACACTCCCCTCCTTTGTGGAACGTGACTGATGCCCGCATGCTTGGCTTCAAGTCCAGGAGCAGCCTTTCCACGATGCGAGCCCTGACGGGCCTTTCGCCTTTTGGCCGCACTTGGGCACGTTATCAATCCGTGAATGCTTGGCACGGTTTCCTCAGGCATTCCACTTCATCCATGTTGCTTGAAGAGGGTTTCCGCTACCCAAAGCCCTCGACCCCTAAGGGAATGTGGCATAAAGTCAGCTCTATATTTCAAAGTTAAACGATAGTTAATTGCTTGTTTTCCCTTGAGCATATTTTTCTGGTGGTATGTGTGCCACACGCCGGATCATGTAGGCACCCCGTTTGATTTGTGGTAACTCTTGGGTTCAAAGACCGCGCGCCCAGAAACATGGAGGAACCTCGTCCACTGGACTTAACCCAAAAGCCGGAGGGGAGCAGAACTTGAAGCTCGCCAAGCACCCAACTTGAAGTCGTTCCAAGCCTCATGGAGGTTTCCTGAGGTCAGGGATCCCCAATGGTTGGTTTCCTTTTGGCTTCCCTCCAAAGGAGAAACAGCCGGTAGCAGTGCCTCCCGAATGGGATTGAAGTCCCCACCAACTTTCATTGGCCCAAGAACAAGGGGTCTTCCAAAAGGAGACCTCTCTCCTTTGATGCGCAAGATTGCGCAAGTACTTGGGATAAAATGGGGATGGCTGAGACAACGAAAGGTCAAATGGATCATCTCCTTTGCTCAGCATGAAGGCCCCATTCTCCACCAGGGCAGTCCTTTCAGGACCAGCTTTTCATAAATGATCATGAGATTGCCTTGCAATCTGGTCGTTGGTTCCGTTTGGAGGTATGCAAGACTTGTGAGCAAGCCCTGTCCTTGACTCGTTCAAATCATGTGCTGCAACTGTTTGCTGATGGCTGAGACAAGTCAAGCCAGCGTGTATTTTGAATTTTGGGACCCGACCCAAGCAACAATCAACAGCACGTCAAATCAAGGCAAGGTGTAAATGTGTTTCCCTTTGTTTTCCCTTGAAGCCAACTTCAATCCAACCTTAGGAGGGTATACATGTATAACCTCAGTGGGATTTCAGCCTGGTTACCCTCCCAACAAACATGGAACCTGACCGCAAATCTCATTTCCGGAACACCACACTGTGGATGGACGAAATCCTGCACCACTTGGAAACCCTGACAAACCATTGATGCTTGGTATTAACAGGGGAATCAACATTCCAGGGTTTCTTAGGTGGCGCAGGATTTCGTCAATCCACAGTATGTTCCCTTTAAAGGGACTATTTCCCTCACTGGCTTCAGGTCCCGTCTTACTTGGTGTCTGGTTGCCGAGGCACGTCTGGTCAAAGAGCTGCCCCAAGTGCCGCTGCTTCAGGAGCTGCAGGGCCACGAGGGGTGCCAGGCGCGCGGATCCGAGGCTTCCCCTGTGGGGCTCCCGAAAATGGCCCCCTTCGGTTTTACATCACCCTTTGGTCCAATGTAAAGTGAGTTTCCTCCTTGTTTTTTGTGAAGGGGCAACTATGCGGACAGTCTGGGATGGAAACTGGGATCCATATGTTTTGCTCTTTCGGGTGATTTTAAAGAGTACTTTGTGGTTGGGGAAAGAGCTTGCGTTTGGGGGGATGTTTCAGAGGGACACATATGCGAAGCGCCGGGGCAATGAAGAGCACGCAGAATGAAGAGCTCGGAGCAGAGATCCAGTATCGGAGCATATAGGGGGTATGGGATGTGGAGGTGTGTGTATCCTGATGTGCCCAATACTAGGTACCGGATGAGTCCTGCAAAGTGACCTCACCAAACTTGTTTGCAGGGGGGTTCATATTTGTGGGGATGATTGCTTGTTGCCTGCCGATACCCTGTCAAACTGTCAAAGCATAACTTTTGGGACGGGCTGGGGGGATCTTGTGCTAGGGCTTGGCTAAATTTTGGGAATTTAGTCGTGTTGCAGTTTTGAACTTGGGCTAACCCCAACAACCCCAACAACCCCAACAACCCCAACAACCCCAACAACCCCAACAACCCCAACAACCCAACAACCAGCAACCAGCAACCAGCAACCAACCATTACTGACAACCAAGAACCATCAACCACCGACAACCAACGACCAAGAACCAACAACCAACAGCCAACAGCAACGGCAACAAAAGCAGCAGCAGCAGCAAAAACAACAGCACAAATCACCGTTGAATAGTGCCAGCCTTACCACAACGCGAAATCCACTAGTATGCATATATATATATGTATAGATGTACATAGAATCATGTGTATATGTACATAGACAATTCTGTGACTGCAAACACTTTTAACCTTTTGCCAATACATCTTCCAGTGCTACTTTGATAGTTTCAAACAATTGCCCCCCTCACATAGACAATCCCCAAACATTTGTTTCTCTTTCTTTCTGGCCCTTGACGACCTTGGGGGGGGGGGGGCGGGTTGGGCATTCTTGGTGCCAGAAGCGTTCCAATAAACGCTCGCTCGCCAGGAAGTGATGTGGGAGGCGCCTTGGCAATTTTTGGAGCGAGGGGGAAGTCCATCCATTTTGGGCCGCCACCCTTTATTCGAGCAAAGTTCCCGCGGACCAGCAAAATCACCGTCTGTTTCCATCGTGGCACGTGAGGCAAAGGAGAACGCATGTCTGCGTGCCTTTTGGAGGGAAGCCCCCCTTCTTGGTTGAGCTAGAAGAGTTGCCAACATGAAGTCAACCGTTTGGAGGGTCCCATGTACAAAAACGGTTTTCGACAAAAGCGCTCAAAAACTCCATGCTCGGCCTTCCGGGAAGGTCCGGGCCAGGAACTGCCCCAGTGAAGGCGGAAAGTTCCAACGTGACAAACCAACCGCTGGCCGCCCCCTTCAGTGGAAGCCCACAGAGGTTGAATAGACAATCATGGTGCAAACATGTTTGAACAATGTGGCCCAATCCTGTTTTTTTTTGGCACGAAACGCCATCTTCACCGGTCAGACGAGTTCGCTCATGAAGATCCTGTACTTTGGGATTCCTTATGTTCAATCTGGGAGTTATAGTCACATGCGCAGATGCCACGAGCCTGTTGTTCCCACAGTTAACTGGCTGGGTGGAGAAATCAAGCCTGATAAATTGCCCAATTTTCGTTAGGCCTTTTTGACGTGTCGCGCTGGGCGTAGGCGGGCGCACATGTCAAAACTTGGGAGCTTTGGCTTTTTTGGTGACGCTGGTGAGATTTGGGACCCATGATGCCAAGGCTCCATGGTCGGGCGCTGCCGAGCACTCCTGGCGGGGGAAGGGGGGGGAGTGTATGGAAGCACCCTTCTGGGCAAACATAGCCAATTGACTGACCGGGTGTTTGACCTCGAGCCCGTGATGAAGGCTTTGCTCTTTCTTTTTGTGGGGTGGGGGGAGGTCCTTGTTTCTAGACCTGCGGGAGAGGGAGGTCCACGTTAGGCTGTTCATAGTTTGGACCCAGGCGGTGCATGGAGTTAGATAGTTCCACTGGCCTGCCAAAGTTGAAAGAATGCTCTTGTAAGAGTCCTGCGTCCGTTCTGGCCCTTTTCGTTTGTGAGGCTGTTTGGCTGAGTCGCTGGGAAGACTGGAGCTATGCTTTAGCTGAGGGGCACGTTCAATCCATGTTGCAAGTGTCAGGCTTCCCAATTGCTGGTCTTAAGAGCCCAAGCCAGCTCCCAAGCCTCTTTTTGTTTGAGTTGAACGCGCTTCGCAGATACCACGATTGTGTTCAACTGCTTTCATCCAAACAGAGCCCCAGCTGGAATTGCAGTGCTTTTCACCCAGACCAATGAGCAGCAGGTAAGTACACGGAGACTCCGTGTGCTCAGCTTGAGACCTCCCTCGAGTTTTTGTTCTCCGTGCGGCGCGAGGCACTGCTTCCCGTTGGTGCGGAAAGGCCTGTGGACAGCAGGCGGAGCGCGCCGTGGTAAAACCATGGGGCCCTTTTCAGACGTTCGCTTGGGCAAGAGGGGGCGTTCGCACCTTTGGTTGGCACTTGGGAAGCGGAGTGGGCCCAGGACCCACGTTCCGGGATACGCGGCGCGCACTGCGGCGGCCTTGGGACGCTGGGGAGGGTTTCTTTCTTTGGGTTCCCGTTTTGGGCTGTTTCAAAAGGGAAAGCACGCTCTTGGGTGATTTGAAAGGAAAAGCAAGTTTGAAGACGAACCTGTATGGGTGTGGCGGGCATGTCCTTGCGCTGGCTTCGCGCCTGCATTTGGTCCTGCATTTGGTCAAATGAGTCCGTGAGAAAGTTGATTTGTGACGTAGATAAGGGCAGAAATCAGTTTAGCTGTGTCAGCTTGTGATTTGAATCCAAGCTTGACAGCAAAGTAGAAATGGACCAGTCGGCTCATTGATTGTACTTCTTGCACCACTCTTGTCAGCTTTGCAAGGTGTCGCGGTTGCACAGGCCCCTGTTTGGGTAGCCGTTGCAGCACAAAGAGCGGGGCATGCGCTTAATGGGGCCGAGCGAGGACAGATGGTTTGATCTTGCACAGCTGGCATGGACAGAGCATACTTGGATGGTGCAGCTGAACGAGAGCCACGGCTCCATTTCCCATCGCCCGTGCCCTTGGGGAGGTCACTTGCTGAAGTTCAGCTTCGATCACGTGCACGTGTCAAACTGTGCTCAGGCGGCTGGTGTGATGATAAGGCCAGAGCTTCGACCTTTGGCCCGCGAGGGGGTCAACGTTCACCAGCATGTTGCGCCCGGCGACGTCGTGCTCACAGGCCCCAGCGTCGCCATCAAGGTTGGCGACGAATCTTGCTTGCACAAGAGTGTCCAAAAGGGACGCGGACGCATCTCGCACGCCTTCGCATCTGCAGCTGAACATGTCGTTTTCATTCTGGCCTCGCAGAGTCTGTCCAATGTCGCAGGGAGTTGTTATATCTCCGGTGTCGCCGGGCAAGTCGTTAACGGGCAGCACAAAGTCCCATCAGGCCTGTCCAGCTTAAGAGGCAAGGTGGCAGAGACTTGATCAGACAATGACCCGCCCTCGGGACAAAACCAACTGACATGGTGTGTATTATTCCGGAGGCAAGGGGGCTTCCTTGAACAACCGTGCAAAGAACTTGCTTCTAAGTATGTTTGTTGTTTGATTTGGGCGCCTTTGCGCAGCATGCGCATAAAGGCTGAAATTACTGTTAAAGTTTTAAAGGACTATATTTGTTTCTGGAGCCCTACGGCGAAAGGCCAACACGAACAGACAACTCTTTCCAGCTGTCGCTCTCAGGGGGGGAAATGGCGCCAGGAGCGAATCTTACGGTTATGAGTTTGCTTGATTGGTTCCATCAAAGGAATGGTCTATTTAGCTTAGTGGCCCCAGGACGGTCAGAGATACTGCTTAGCATCTGTCAGAGACATTACAGTGTTCATTTTGCTTCTGAAGATTGAGGCCCACGGCAGGATTGAAATCCGGGTTTAAGGCTGCAAGCAACCCTTTGGCCAGCATCCTACAGGCCGCTATATGTTATATATATATATGTGTATATATATATATGGTGCGTGCGTGCTTAGTGTGTGCTTAGTGTGTGCGTGTGTGTGTGTGTGTGTGCTTAGTGTGTGCTTAGTGTGTGCTTAGTGTGTGCTTAGTGTGTGCTTAGTGTGTGCTTAGTGTGTGTGTGTGTGCTTAGTGTGCGTGTGTGTGCTTAGTGTGCGTGTGTGTGCTTAGTGTGTGTGTGTGCTTAGTGTGTGTGTGTGTGTGTGTGCTTAGTGTGCTTAGTGTGCTTAGTGTGCTTAGTGTGCTTAGTGTGTGTGTGTGTGTGTGTGTCTGTGTGAGCCTTTGTGTGTGTGTGTGTGTCTGTGTGAGCCTTTGTGTTTGTGTGTGTGTGTGTGTGTGTCTGTGTGAGCCTTTGTGTGTGTGTGTGTGTCTGCGTGAGCCTTTGTGTTTGTGTGTGTGTGAGCCTTTGTGTTTGGGTGTGCGCGCCGAGTGCCAGATAAACCTGGACCCAATTCTTTTGCGGCAGGGGCCAGCGGCCATCAAGCAATCGCTGGCCAACGAAGGTATGCTTGATGGTGGATGCACGGGCTGATCACCTGTTGTACCTGCATGTGATCGATGAATACCCTTTGTTCCCCTTACTGAATCGCTGCTGTTTGCTTGCCCGTGTTGAAGGACAAAAGCCAGCTCAACTCGATGACACTCGTTTGCACTTTCTACCTTTCTAATTTGCACTTGAACTTGATGGCGCCTTATCTCGTGAGCTTAAGTGTGAACCATCCCAACTTGGGGGGTTTCCAGGTGCGCCCCCGGGACAGCTTTTCCGTGACCTGTATGACAGTCGTTTGCAAGAGACGGCGTGTGATACCTTCTTACCCGACCGTCAGGCCTCAGTTTGTTAAAGTTTACCTCATTTTGCCTGCATGTCAATGCTCCGCATCAGCCTCCTGCCAGTGGCGGTGGCGGTTGTTGTTGTTGTTGGTGGTGGTGGTGGTGGTTGTTGTTGGTGTTGGAGGTTGTTGGGTGGTGTTGGGTGTTGGTGTTGGTGTTGGTGTTGGCGCTGTTGTTGTTTTCTGTGAAGCGGGCATTGTCGTAGGAATGTGAGGGCGAGGCCGTGCGCCGTTTCGCTGCCCTCTTTGGCAACCTGGGCGCCCCCTTCTTCATATCGTTCGACACCCAGTCGCCAACCGACAACGTGACCCCCGAGCGGATGGCGATACGCCAGCAGCGGCGCACCAACTTCCCGGAGCGCGGGGATGTGACGACCCTGTCCCGGGTCAAGCGCCCACAAAAGGAGGCGGAGGGGCGGACCCGGGGAAAGGCGCGAATGCACATGTAACGGTTTAGCATGGGAGGTTTTCACGCAACTGACGGTTTTGAACTTGCATTTGTGGGCCCATGGGTTTTCTTTGCAGTGAGCACGCTTCGCGCCAAAACGAGCTTGTCATCATGAAAGTCCCTTTCTTGTTTTGCTTCTAGTGCTGCTCCTGCATTGCTGGTTTGCGCAGGTTGGGCGGTCAGTAAGCGGCGTGCGGACGGGATGAGCATCAAAAAATAATTATTTTGGGGATCAAAAAAATATTTAGGGGATCAAAAACAAATTATTGAGACCCAGTCTCCGGTCCCCTGCTCTCCTGGTCTCCTGGTCTCCTGGTCCTTGGTCTCCTGGTCCCCATGTCTCCTGCTGGTCCTGGTCCCTGGTCTTCTGGTGTGTCCTGGTCCCCGTGTCTCCTGGTCGCCTGGTCTCCTGGTCTCCTGGTCCTTCTCCTGCTTTTTGCTGGTCTGCCGGTCCCCTGCTCTCCTGGTCTCCTGGTCTCCTGGTCCTTGGTCTCCTGTGTCTTGTCTCCTGGTCCTTGGTCTCCTGGTCTCCTGGTCTCTTGGTCTCTTGGTCTCCTGGTCTGCTGGTCTCCTGGCCTGCTCTCCTACCCGAAACCGACCCTAAACCAAACTACACCCACCCTAAACCAACCCAAAACCAACCTACAAACCAACCTTGAAACCGACCCTGCGCAACTGTTAAACCAACCCTAAACCCGCCCTAAACCAACCCTAAACCAATCCTAAACCCACCCTAAACCTACCCTAAACCTACCCTCAGCCAACCTAAAACCACCCTAAACCCAACCTAAACCTACCCTAAACCAACCAAAATCCACCCACCGCAAACAAACCCAAAACCCTCCCTAAACCCACCCTAAAACCCACCCTAAACAGACCCTAAACTAAACCTAAACCCACCCTAAACCAATCCCCAAACCCACCCGAAACCCAACCAAAATTAACCCTAAACCAACCTTGAAACCAACCCTACACAACCTTAAGCCAACCCTAAACCCAGCCTAAACCAACCCTAAACCAACCCTAAACCTGCCCTAACCCTACCCTACACTTACCCCAAACCACCGTAAACTTTGCCTAAACCATCCCTTAACCCAACCCTAAACCAACCCTAAGCCACGTAAACCGGCACTAAACCCAGCCTAAGCCCACCCGAAAACTACACTAAACAGACCCAAAACCAACCTAAGCCAACCCTAAACCCGCCCTAAACCTTCCCGAAACCTACCCTAAATTATCCCTAAAAACCCTAAATAACTTTCAAGCCCCAAACCAAACCTAAACCCACCCTAAACCAAGCCTTAGCCCAGCCTGAACCATCCCTAAACCAACCCTAAAGCAACCCTAACCAAACCTCATCCAACCCTAAACCCACCCTAAACCAACCCTACTGACCTTCAACCGACCCTAAACCCTAAACCAACCCTAAACCCACCCTAAGCCCGCAAACCAACCCTAAACCCACCCTAAACCCACCCTAAACCTACCCGAAGCCAACCTAGAACCACCCTAAACCCAACCTAAACCAACCCTAAACCAACCCTAAACCAAGCTAAGCCAACCCCAAACCCTCCCTAAACCAACCTTGAAACCAACCCTACACAACCTTAAGCCAACCCTAAACCCAGCCTAAACCAACCCTAAACCAACCCTAAACCTGCCCTAACCCTACCCTACCATTACCCGTAAACTTAGCCTAAACCATCCCTTAACCCAACCCTAAACCATTCCCAGGCTAAACCTAAGCCCTAAACCTACCCTAAACCAACCTAAATCCACCCACCGTAAACAAACCCTAAACCGTCCCTAAACCAAGCCTGAACCCACCCCAAACCCACCCGAAACCCAACCTACATTAACCCTACACAACCTTAAGCCAACCCTACAGGCATTTAACCGATGCTAGATTCGTTGATAGAACTGCGCTTGTATCTGAAAAGTTGTGATTTTCGAACTGGAGCTGCCAAAGTGACCTTCGCGTACTGCGCTTGTATTGGAAAGTGTTTTTTTTCAGCTGGAGCCGTAAAATGCGCGCGCTGTTGCCCGAAAATGATGTAAATTACAGCGTTTTGGCACCCCCAGGCGAGATAATTTGTTTTTGATCCTGTAAATAATTTGTTTCTGATGTCGATAATTTCTTTTTGATCCCGTAAATAATTATTTTTTGATCCTGCGCCCCGTGCGGACAGCGTTAGATAGCACCTCGCGAGGCACTGATGGTAGCCAGATCTGATGGGGAGAGCACTTTCCGTGTATGCTTTATCTTCAACGAGCCCGTGGTTGTGTCCGCGCACTGGGTACCCGAGTGCCTTCGACTGATGCTGAAACTCCTCCGCCAAGAGCTCATCAGAACCATCAACCGTCCTCACCTTGCCGACCTTCGCAAAGCGGATCAGGACTTCTACGTGATCTTGAGCATGCAGCATTTCAAGCGGGGTCCCCCCATGCTTCCTCATGCCGGACCTTCAGAGCCAGATGTTACTTGCGCACAGCTGGGCCTTACGACCTTTGCTTTTTGGGTTTGAACCCATAAAGTGGCCACCTGTAAAAGCCTAGCCCCAAGTGAGGTTTGTATCTCCACTGAACGCGGCCCAAGTGCCTGGAGCCGCTTTCCGCAGCAAAAGGGTTTCCAGGCCAGGGTTGGGCAAAACGTGTCTCAATCAACCAACCGGCCCCCTTTGCAAGGGAAACCGAACAATGGTTTCAAGCGCGGTAACAAGGGTAAGGGGTTGGATCGCCCAACCCTTTTCCAGGCTGCCCGGTACATGCAACTCTTCCTTGAGCGTTTGGGCTACGATGTCCACGTCTTCGACTGCTTGGACGGCCACTGAATTGCAAGCAGCAAGTTTCACGTGAGTGCTTCCTTTTTCCAGTGGCACCCCCCCGGTGAGGGAAAGACCCTAATTGAATGGGCGTTTCCGCTGGCATCCCCTGGGGCACCCATGTTCTGTCAGGTTAGACATTAGTTAGGGCCCCCGTGCCCACCAGAATGGTGTTCCGTCATTCTAACATATCCACTTCGAAGAAGGCTCAAAGAACATTTCCCAAGTTGTCGGTGGGCCTTTTTTGTTTCCTTGGGCATGATGTCAACCTTTTCCTTGAAGATCTACCAACGAACCGTGTCCAGTTGCACGGAACAAGAAGTTGAAGGCAGTTTTTGCCCTTGGGGCGATTCAATGCTGGAACATGTTTAAACCACTTTTGTTTTAACAACCTCCTGCAGCCCCCTTTGCACAAAAGAGCCAGCGCCTCACACAAACCTAATCCTGCCTCCCCCACTAAAATGGCTAACTGTACAGAAGGCTTCTTCTTCTGTACACTGGTTGGAACTGCGTGTTGGTTATCCTGAAAACCACTTGTAACAACTGGTTTCAAGTGAGGCCTGGATATTGGCTGCCGCAAAAGACAAGGTATACCCATCGTTTTTATCCAGGAGGAGTCGTAACAATGACAGATACTGTGGAACAACGACTAGACAATATATAAACACTGACAATTTTTTAATTGTCCATCCCGACAGCACGTCTCTTCAGGTTTTCCATGACAGATCATCTATTCAGGTTTTTCCCAGCGCCCAAATCGCGTTATCCGAGTCAAATGGCCGTTTGACTCAAAATCCACAGATCCAGCGCCCAAATCGCGTTTTTCGAGTCAAACGGCCGATTGACTCAATCCGCAGATCCAGCGCCCAAATCGCGTTTTCCAAGTCAAACGGCTGACATTTTTTGAATTGTCCATCCCAACAGCACGTCTTTTCAGGCGTTTTCCGAGTCAAACGGCCGTTTGATTCAAAATCCACATATCCAGCGCCCAAATCGCGTTTTCCGAGTCAAACGGCCGTTTGACTCAAAATCCACAGATCTAGCGCCCAAATCGCGTTTCCGAGTCAAACGGCCGTTTGACTCAAAATCCGCAGATCCAGCGCCCAAACGTTTTCCGAGTCAAACGTCTGACATTTTTTTAATTGTTCATCCCGACAGCACGTCTTTTCAGGTTTTCCATGACAGATCTATCTATTCAGGTTTTTCCCAGCGCCCAAATCGCAAAACCGCATCCAGCGCCCAAATCGCGTTTTCCGAGTCAAACGGCTGACATTTTTATAATTGTCCATCCCGACAGCACGTCTTTTCAGGTTTTCCATGACAGATCTATCTATTCAGGTTTTTCCCAGCGCCCAAATCGCGTTTTCCGAGTCAAACGGCCGTTTGACTCAAAATCCACATATCCAGCGCCCAAATCGCGTTTTCCGAGTCAAACGGCCGTTTGACTCAAAATCCACATATCCAGCGCCCAAATCGCGTTTTCCGAGTCAAACGGCCGTTTGAGTCAAAATCCACATATCCAGCGCCCAAATCGCGTTTTCCACAGATCCAGCGCCCAAATCGCGTTTTCCGAGTCAAACGACCGTTTGACTCAAAATCCACAGAGCCAGCGCCCAAATCGCGTTTTCCGAGTCAAACGGCCGTTTGATGCAACATTCACAGATCCAGCGCCCAAATCGCGTTTTCCGAGTCAAACGGCCGTTTGACTCAAAATTTACAGATCCAGCGCCCAAATGGCCGTTTGACTCAAAATCCACAGATCCACCCGTTTGCGTTTTCCGAGTCAAACGGCCGTTTGGCTCAAAATCCACAGATCCAGCGCCCAAATCGCGTTTTCCGAGTCAAACGGCCGTTTGACTCAAAATCCGCAGATCCAGCGCCCAAATCGCGTTTTCCGAGTCAATCGGCTGACAATTTTTTAATTGTCCATCCCGACAGCACGTCTTTTCAGGTTTTCCATGACAGATCTATCTATTCAGGTTTTTCCCAGCGCCCAGAGTCAAACGGCCGGTTGACTCAAAATCCACATACCTAGAACTTCCTGCGGCGGAAATTTCTGCCGCAACGCATTGCGGCGGAAATTCCCGCTGCATTCCAGAGAATCAGCCGCAAACCAAAAAAAAGCCGCAACCAAAACAAAAACGCCGCAACACTGTTTGCTTTCCGGGAATTTCCGCCGCATTCCCGCCGATTTCCGCCAAGGGCACGTTTTAACTACGACAAGGAAGTGAGAACTACGACAAGAAAATGAGAGCTACGACAAGAAAAATATCACTACGACAAGGTCCCCCACACACACACACACCGACAAGGCTCTACACATGTTGCATAATCACAGGGACTATATGCGCTGCACTTGTTTCACTGCAGTTTGTATGCGGGGCAAGGCTTTACTTGCATCATCACAGGGACCTGCACTTGTTTCCGTGTAGATCGTATGTGGGTTTGTAGGATGTCTCATGGAGAGTGGGTTCATCGTATTGACATGAAAAAAAGAGCGCGGTCTCGTGAGCTTCGTGGTGGACCGTCACAGCTGTCCCGTCGTGGACTCGTTGTGCACCTTGTTGTGGCCCATTGTGTGTCGTGGTTTGTCACACGTCCCGTGTTCCCCGTCACAGGTCTAGGGTGTTCACGCCGTTGTGTGGCCACATCGTCGCATGGCTTCGTTGTGGCCGCACGTCACGTCCTGTCATGGACTGTGTTGTGGCCGGGTCACGTCAACACGGTCCCATCGCTGCATGTGTCGCGTCGGTTTTAGCGTGGCCTCGCATCCCGCCATGTGGTTGTGGCCTTGGCCCTCACGCGTCGCGTGGCCTTATGATTGCATGGCCCGGCATGGCTTTGTCACGTCCTTGCACTTGTTGCAGGTCCCACATGTCGTGGCCTGTCACTCGTCCGTCTCCTGTCCCCTTCCCGTCGTGCAGCTTGTCGCGGCCGTGTAGCCCGTCGCAGGTCCCTTCGTGGGCCCCACATCGCCCGTGGGTGACGGCTGTCCCCTCATGGATGCGTGGCCTGTCGCAGTCCAGTCACTCGATCCGTCGTGGACTCGTCTTGTGTGGCCCCGTGACAGGTCTCGCAATGGCTTCGTCGCGGGTGCCGTCGTGTAACCCACGCGTGTTTATGGCCCATCCCGTCCTGTAAGCCCCAACATGTCACATCCTCTCATGAACTGTATTTTCGACCCCCTGTCCCGTCGTGTAGCCCGTCGGAGGTCCCGTCGTGGGCCCCACATTGCCCATGGGTGACGGCTGTCCCCTCATGGATGCGTGGCCTGTCGCAGTCCTGTCACCCGATCCGTCGTGCGCTCGTCTTGTGTGGCCCGTGACAGGTCTCGCAATGGCTTCGTCGCGGGTGCCGTCGTGTAACCCACGGGTGTTTATGGCCCATCCCGTCGTGTAAGCCCCAACATGTCACATCCTGTCATGAACTGTATTGTCGCCCCCCTGTCCCGTCGTGTAGCCCGTCGCAGGTCCCGTCGTGGCCCCGTCATTGGCCCGTCGTGGTTCCCCACATCGCCCGTGGCACGTCCCTCCTCCAATTCTTTGGCCCATGTTGGTGACGGCTGTCCCCTCCTGGATGCGTGGCCTGTCGCAGTCCTGTCACTCGATCCGTCGTGGACTTGTCTTGTGTGGCCCGTTGCAGGTCTCGCAATGGCTTCGTCGCGGGTGCCGTCGTGTAACTCACGGGTGTTTATATGGCCCATCCCGTCGTGTAAGCCCCAACATGTCACATCCTGTCCCGTCGTGTAGCCCGTCGCAGGTCCCGTCGTGGTTCCCACCTTTTTTGTCGAGGTTCACGTTTTTTTTTGTCGAGGTTCAATTTTTAAGCTCTTGTCGTGGTTAAGCCGCGCCCTCGATTTCCGCCGCATTCCCGCCGATTTCCGCCGCAAATCGGGGGGTAGAAAAAAATGAAAACAAGTTCTTCCGCAATTCTAAAAAAACGCCGCAAATCAGGAAGAAATGCCGCAAATCCAAAAAGGCGCCTTTTTTGATTTGCAGCAGAAATTTCTGCCGCAACGAATCTCTAGGCTATAGGTATCCAGCGCCCAAATCGCGTTTTCCGAGTCAAACGGCCGTTTGACTCAAAATCCACATATCCAGCGCCCAAATCGCGTTTTCCAAGTCAAACGGCCGCTTGACTCAAAATCCACATATCCAGCGCCCAAATCGCGTTTTCTGAGTCAAACGGCCGATTGACTCAAAATCCACATATCCAGCGCCCAAATCGCGCTTTCCGAGTCAAACGGCCGTTTGGCTCAAAATCCACAGATCCAGCGCCCAAATCGCGTTTTCCGAGTCAAACGGCCGTTTGACGAGATCCAGCGCCCAACTCGCGTTTTTCCGAGTCAACCGACCGTTTGACTCAAAATCCTCAGATCCAGCGCCCAAATGAGCAGCGATGAAAAATGCTCAAAGCAATTTAAGTAAGGGAGCGCTGAAATCAATCCGCGCGGAAGGTTTTCCGCAGGCCGCGGAAGCTTGCGGAAGGGCCGGCTGACTACGAAATTTGCGCAGCGGAAGGGCGCGGAAGGGGAACATTTTTGGAGCATCAAAAGGTGTAGAAATCTCTTACTCCCCAGCCCTTGCTTCGGCCCAACAAGTTTTCGCCCCCGAAGAGTTGGGGGAGGATTCGAGCTGCCTAGCTTTATTCTCCATCACGGGAGATCAGCGCGCTTTATCGAGTCACCACGCAGGCTTCTTGGGCCCAGATCCAGCACCCAAATCGTGTTTACTCAAAATCCACAGATCAAAACGGTCGTTTGACTCAAAGTCTAAGATCCAGCACCCGAATCGTCGTTTTCGTAGTCAAACGGTCGTTTGTCGTTTGACCCCAAAATCCACAGATCCAGCGCAAATCGCTGATTAGTACCGAGACCGTCGTTTCCTAGTCAAGAAGGCCGTCTAACTCAGAATGTGCAGATCCAATGCGACTGGGCCAAAAACGTGCTTTGTCGAGCTTGTGTTTTTTTTTTGTCGGGGTTGTGCTAAAGTTTTGGCGCGGTTTTAGATTTCATTGCCAGTCGTGGTTACAACCCCTCCTCGTTGATCAATGCCTTGTTTCTGGGTGTTTTACTCGATTATTGTAGTAAATCCACTCAAGAGTGAGCAATAACACACCCAGGTCTGAGCGGTGCCTGGACTCCTTCCGGCTTTGACTAGATTTCCCACAACAGAAGGGCCATGGTTTCCTGTACAGAAACCGAACAGTTCGCCCATGAGAAAACCCCTGGATCCTTGCGTGTCCCCTTTGGGTGGTTTCGAACATCTGGTTTTGAGGCAGAAGGTGTGTGTGTGTGTGGTGGGATGTAGGCCAAAGATGTTCTCACGTCCTTTTGTTTCCAAGTGTTCCCCCCTGAAAGAACCCCACACGCACAATCTTGAGAAACACATTCTCCCGAACTGGCGGTTTTCCTTTTGTTTTCCCTTTGCAACCACACCCAAACTCCAAAGACACCAGCACATAGTACTGTTTCGAGGGCACTGCGGTACCCTTTCTTGGTGCATTTTTTTGTAGGACAGGGAAACCACCCATACCTTTAAAAAAAAAAACATCATAATAATAATTGATTTATATATATATATATATATATTTATGGGAAAGGAAGACCACCACCTATTTACGTTACGGGGTTACCCCTCTCTGAGACCAAGGCCGAAGACTGGTGCCCTACCAGTGCGCCATCCGCCGGGACGTGTGGCAGAAGCTCCGCGACAACTTGGCGGAGGCCTTCGGGCTGCAGAGGTCCGCCTACCGCCGCGCCAACGGCGGCCCGCAGGCGCCGGAGCTGCGGGAGGACGCCGGGAGCGGAGGCCAAGAAGGGGGGTGCTTTCGGAGGGCGGTTCAGGTGGCGAATTTTCGGGTACGATGTCGAGGGCATTTTTATGTTTGTGTGCAGTGTTGAGAGTACTCTAGGGAGGGAGTTCGTTTGAAGATGAAGTCACGTGGATTCCACCCGTTTTGGCGTTGCGATTTGTACACATAGCAGTGTAGGGCGGGTTCTCGGTCCACATTTAGTTTTCGGTCCAGGTTCTCGGTACCCATGGTTTCTCCGGCCCGGGCCATTTCTCAACGTCGTCAGTGCCCAAAGAAGAGTTCCCTGAAAACAAGACATGCTTGTTTTCATGTTTGGTTCTTGGTTGGTTGGTTGTTTGGTTTGATGGCTCGGTTCCACGCAAGGCGCATCTGTTTTGCCTTGAAGGGGGTGTATATGCATTACACCCTCCACATGGAACAGCACAGCCAAGATTGACACCATTTAAGATTTAAGCATAGGCTGCCAAGGCCCATGTGATTCGCAGCCCAGGACTTGCAGGCCAACTTGAGGCTGCCACGGAGATCTTGGGATTTGGCGCCTGTGCCGTGTGATTTGTTTGGGTGGGAGGTGGGGATTGGGGTGGGCGGTGCCGTGAACCCAGCTAGCTACCAAAACAAGGGCCTCGTTGTGTTTGTTTTCCTCCCTGGCCACTCAAGGTCCTCCAAGTACCACGTCCACTCCGGTGGCCACGGGTGGTGGTTCGGCGGACCTTCCTTGAAGTCGAGGATGAGCATGAAGAGGGCCCACACATGGCCCGCGCGAATACAATAAAATAATCCTACGTACGCCAGATTCCAGTCCATGTTAGTGGAGCTGGCAGCTTCCTTGGCCGCCGTGTAGAAAGTGCCTTCTTTGGGTTCCAAGAAAGGGACGTGCCTTTTTTGTACCCAAGATGTTCAGGGAAGCTGCAACTGCAAGTGCTTGCTCCGAAGTACTGGTACAGCGCGTTTCTGTACAGGCATGCTGCGTCATGTTAATTCACGTGTGCATACCGCCGCTCCAAAGTACTGATACATAGCGGTTCTGTACAGGCATGCTGCGGCATGCGAATTCGCACCTGCATACGGTTGTTTTAAACCGTTTTTCGGGCACAATCATGGGAAAACAATGGTAGATGTCCTCCTGGTTCCCCTTTGTCAAGCTCATCAGGAGGATCGATCACTGGGCACCCGTGCCATGCAAAGATTTAAAGCTATAGGCCTAGAGCTCAACATTGCGCTGAGCAAAAGTGTGCAGGGCGCTTGACGACGGTATCATGGCAAACAGCTCCAATTCAATGCCTTTGGAGTGTTGTTTTGCTGAGGGGGCATGTCATGTTTCTTTGAATTGTTTTGTTCGGACATGTTCGGACGGCGGGATCGGCGAGCCACGGCAAATCGATCTGATTTAGTCATCTGGGGCCTTTTGTGACTTTCGGACTTTGGATAGCGCTCAGCGAATGTGTGTGTGGTGTGGTAGTGTGGCAGTGTGGCGGCGTTGGACATCGCTGCATTTGTGAAGCGCTGGCTTCCTGCGCTCGACTTGCTCTGCGCTGCAGTTCTATGCGAGGCCGCCTCTGCTCCCATGCATGCGTGTCCTGCCCACATGGGCACATGCATGTTTAAGATTGGTTGTGTATGTGAACGTGCATTGGGCATGTTGGGCGTCAAGGTTCACATCACGGCTACGCGGCTTGCCTCCTTCGCACATGACCTTCCTGCCCGGGTTTCTTTTGAGGCTTCATGTCACTATTTGCTCAGTAGATTTCACCCTCTAATCCCACTTTGTGCCGAAACCCCACCAACGGGTTCCAATTCTCTCTCAACCAGGGCGACTGTTCCAACTGCGGCTTGCAGTGTCCAGGCAAGTCGATGCCACAAAGCGGCGCATTTAAAGCCTGGCTCACAGGTCAGCAGCCATTCCACCGGTCAAAATAGAACTAGCTGATCGGGGGAAGATGAGGCGAAAACCCAAGGTCCGCTGCTTGCAGATTTCTGACTTCAGGTTGGCGAGTTGTATGTTGCCAAGATTGCAGGAAGGCCGGACAACTATTCCTTTCCTAGACCCTTGCAGAACTTTCACAATTGGACATAGAAAAGCATGAATGCGGGTTTGGCATCTTGCAGTTGCCCTGTAGTTCCTTAAGCCCACAAGTGGTCTATGTTCTGCACATGCTAGGCTTTGCCCTCAAGCCATGGTCGCTTCGAAGCTGTGCTCTTTCATCGCGGTGGTGCACTTTGCCTGCGCCTTGCTGATGTTCTTCAAGCCCGGTGGCCGGTCTGAATTTTGAACCACTTGGCATGCGGATGCGGCCGGTGTCGTGTGGCCCCAGGGCAGGGCCAAAGGACTGGCTAAAACGAGCGACGGCCCTGGAATCTGAGCCGGGCGCATTGCACGTGGAAGCTCCAGAGCCTCTAAGGCCCTCAGGACCTGGATACCCCAAAACATACCCCAGTGGCTGCAAATGGGTGCTACAGCAGCTTTCCAGGGAAAATCGGGAAAGCTCAGGTCTTCTGAAATGGGGATACGTACAGATCTCTTTTTGGAGAAACACGTGAACAGCCAACCCACCCCAACTTGGTCACCTGTAATCCTGGGCATCAGGAGGGGGAAGGGGTGCAACCCAAAGGGCTCCAGGCAGCCCAAACCCAATGCCCCAGGCGGGGCAGAGGGACGCTGGGGTGCCCACGAGTTGGAGACGCCGCTGCCTGAGCCGCAGATTGCACTGGGAGCCATTGGCATCAATGCGCCTTGGCGCAGCTCCAAAGCTCCACGCCCATCTTTTTCAGGGAGCTGTGTGTGTGTGCGCCCAGGGGAATCATGTTATGTTGATCCTCGTTTTGTGGCTCCGTTCGTTTGTGTCAACCCTATGCTTGTCCGCCGCCGTTAGTGCATGATGAACTCATTCAATGCCACTAACGTCATTCCGCGTTTGAAGGCAGTCCGCCACCTTGGATTTTGAAAGGCCAATAGGGAGGAGAATGGAACGCCGGATTGCGACCCTCCTTATGTCGTTCTTTGGGTATGGGGAAGCGCATCCGGGGAAGCCACCCGTCCTGATCCGGCGCCGAAGGCCGTGACCGAGCTGGCCTGACAGCTGTGACACACTGGCATGTGTGACCAACCCTGAGTATCTTCAAGGAAGGTACCGTTTGTTTGCACGTTTCGCACTTTGGCACGTGTGACACATGGTCCGCACTTGATAGAGAAGGCTTGAGGAAAGGCACGTTCTTTTGCACGCGCGGTCGACATCATTGCGCCATTTCCCCCCCTGAGAGCGAGGCCCGGAAAGCATTGTCCGTTCGGTCTTTTGCTTTGGAGCCCATTTTTGATTGCTTTCCTCGGCCACAGTGCAGAAAACATTGCAAGGTCGATTCTGTCCTGTCAGCGTTTGAGCTCACATTTGCCCAGCCCACACTTCTTGTTTCTTAGCAAGGGCGAGTCTCCACCCAAAAGCATTCACAAGTCGGCAAACCAAGGGCGCCCGTTTTTACCCATGCGAAACCGCTGGCAGCAGACCAGCCATTGTAACAAAGATACCTCGCAGCCTGCCTCTTAGGCGAAGCTTGGGATCAAAGTGGAGGCAGCGGCGCCCTAATTATCAAGGGCCGTTCGGACGTCGCAGGAGCTGTCTTGAGTGACGTTTACCTTGTGCAAAGCCAACCTCTATCTTTTAACCTAGGTTGTTTTCGAAGGGCCGGTGGCCAGAATGCTAACATCAGATAATACAAGCTACGTTCGGCATGTGACACATTCTGGTGCACGTTTGCAAATTGTGGTTGTGTGGCAAATGTTGGGCCATCAATGCTTGGACATTGTTTGGAACTGTTATCTCGGCACCAAGTCCTGTTTTCTCGACTTGTTTTGGCATTGGTCTGAACTGTTTGCTTGAGCCTGAACACGTAGTCCTGCTTTCTCTACACCAAGTCCTATTTGTTCAGCCCTAATTGTTTGCGCAACTGTTCGGTCGCTTTCCTGGGTTTGTTCTAAGCGCTGGTTTCTCGACACCGTTTCGTCCCCCCACACTTGTCGAAATATGTATGTATATAAGATCAGGACAGCTTCTGGAACATGTTTCGCACTTTTCTGAAGCTGGTTTTGGAATATGTCCATCATTGGCCCTGGGACTTGCTCGCTTTCTACCACAACCAGTTGTTCACCTTGTTGCTTTCCGGTTTCGTCCTTTAGCCACGTCAGAGTTTGTTTTGTCATCCTCTTCTGTGCGAATTTGACCCCCACCCCCACGGATCAGGTTGGACCTTTCTCCTTTTTTCCCTTTCCCCCCACTAATTAACATGGAACCTGACAGCAGGGGGTCCAGTCCGCAGGTTCTCATTGACATCCCACATTTCGCAATTTCGAACTCAGCAACAAATACCGCATGCGGCCGAGCTGCTTTGTTCTTGCAAGAATGGGTGAAGTTGCTTCTATGTGTCATGTGGCATGCGCTATTGACTTGTGCGAGGCAGACATGTGTGGTCAGTGAGGGCCCACAAGTCCTGCAACATGGCGGACTCTTGCCGCTGTGTTCATGATCCTAGCCCCAGTGTATGGAAAGGGGGGCAGCGCCCCCAAGAATTAAACGGACGGCTCTTTCCGGACACGTATTCCCCTTTGCGGGTACTAGCGAGGCTGAACCCTTTGTTAATTGAACCAATTGAGCTCGCGAGGGAAAGGCAACATGTGCTAGTTGGTGGTTGGAAGGCATTGCGACAACCTTGTGAGTTGTAAAGCAGCTCCTCATGTTCCTGTTCATGCAATAGAAATCCAAGGTCGAGCTACTCATCAACGGCATCTAGCGGCTATGATTGCCTATTCCACTTGTGGCTCGAAGACGTTCCACCGTTGTTCAGCGTGCACAACCCTTGCGCAGCCCCTATAGAATTGGACGGGGAGGGGAGGGTTTTTTTGGCCACTTGCATGGTTGTTGTCGGGAAACATGTTACGTTTTTGCTTATTGTGGTTTAGTGGGAAACTTGACTGCTAAAATATGTTGTTGTTTTTGCTCCGCTTTCAACGTCAAGCTTGATGGTCACTTGATGGTTCCCTGCACTTACTGGAGAAGGCTCTGAGCGATTTGTTCGGATCGACCCCGCGATCCTTGCCACGGGTCGCGTCGCCAGGCCATGCGCCGGAAGCTGCGGGCGGCGGACCGGCAGGCAGCGTGGGGCTTCCTTCTGCTGGCCTTTTGGGCGCAGGCGGGGAAGGGGAGGTGAGGGGATGGGTAGGGTTACGTGGTGATTTTTCAACTCCCGCCGGCTCTATCTTTTGGGCCTGCGGCCTCTAGCCGGCTACGCCTCTTTGAAGCTACACCATGTCATGTCATGTTTTTTGTATGAGAAACGCATCCTGTGCTATGATATGGCTGGTTAGGTTATGTGTGTTGCCCACTCCAACCCTAGATGATGCCGGGGATGCAAGCTTTCTGGGCCCCAGCCAGGCCCCGACCCAGAAGGTTCACATGGGGTCGCTTGCGCGCGCACCAGAGTCCCCAGAACGAGCAGCCTAAAAAGAACAGCACGCAAGCCAGCCCGGAAATGCAAACGCAACAAAAAACTGTAAATAGCAGCGTTTTGTGGCTGGGCTGGCGCGCGCGCGCGCGCGCCTCAAGGCCCGAAAGCCAACGGGAACAAAGCAAGGACCGCGCAGCACACGAGCCAGCCACAACAAAAGCAAAACGGACAGAGCAGCAGTTTTTGATGGTATTTACGGCGTTTTGTAGAGCGAGGACCCAGCATCGCCGGCATGCCCGGCAGCATCGGCAGCGCTTGGCACCAACATGCGTGAGAATTGTTGTTGGTTATATTTTTTCGGTACCTTCTGAAAATCAGTGCTTCATGGGTTGAGAGGCTTGTTGGAAGGAAGTCTCCCTAATGCAGACCAAGCATCACCTAGGCCCAACCCCAGACCCTGATGATGTCAGCCGCACGGCCTAAACCCTGCGTATACGCGATGTTTTGTGAGCGTTTCCCCCACAGACAAGCAAAACCGCAAGCCCGAGCTGGTGACGCAGCAAGTGATGAGGGTCGGCGCACACGGGTGCAGCCCCTATAGCTGAAGCTAGCAGGCAAATTGCCTAGCGGCGACATGCTACCCCGACCCCCCAGCACCAGTTTTCTTGGGCTCAACTGGCAAAGCAGGCTTGGTTTGGGGCTGGGGTGTCCGGGGGGCATGGTCTAGTTTTGTGAGGTGCGAAAAGTCGACCTCACAAATTTATTGGGAAAATCAGGCTTGGCTCGCACGGTCGGGGGGGGCTGGGGGGCTAGCGGGTCTGGGAGAAACCTCCAGCCCCCAATTCTTTGGCCTTGCCCTGAAATCAGCTCTTCTCCTGGCCCTGGGGCAGGTCCTGGGAATCCACCTCTTGGGAGAATGAGGTGTTTCCCGTATGGCGCATAGTTCAAGAGTTGTAAACCACGCCGGCCCCCTCCTGCGCGTGAGTATATGCGGCGGATTCGAGCCCGCATTTGTCTTCGCAATGCGAAGACAAGCAGGTTGTCAGAAAGCCAGGGCCTTATTTGCTGCCCGCTTGGGTCACACGCAGATGCAGCGGCGCCTGCCATCCAGTTTCGCTTGCTGACGACATGTGGGCAGCCGGCTCGCAACTCCAATAAGCACTGTTCTGCTTTGGCAGTTGGAGCTTTTTTGCCGACATCATGTACATTGGGATCCATGTGCGCCAACAATTTGTAGTTTTGAGGTGTTCCAAGCTCTTGCAGGATTTGGCGATGAACAAGCACTACTTCGACAGGTTCGTGGATGGCAAGCGGTTTGCGCTTGCGTGCTTTGCCGGCATTTCGTTGTTGTCACAGTGCAACGCACATCCACAGGGCGGACATCGGATCTTGCAGCCATGCTGTTTCCCGAAAGGTGGCTTGCAATGACAAGTGTTGTCCCCTTGTTGAGTACGTGCATAGTAACCTCCCCCCCTAATCATAAACCCGGACCCCCCTCCCCCATATTAGTAAATCAGCCTCGAGGCCCTTTTTTGTTTGATGGGCCACCTGGCGACAAAGATGCTCATCCCTTGAAGCGGGGCCCAAAATCGATCTTTTCAAATGGCTTGGAGTACAAACTTTGAAAGGGACAGATGTTTGGCTTTTGGTTGGCTTGGGTCATCACAGATGGTTTGAGAGAGGCAGGCCAGGCAGGGAAACGCAAAGACAAGGCAGGCAGGACTGTGAAGCCCGATCTGTTTGATTACCAGCTGGTTCAAAACAACACCCTCAGCTTGTTTTTGGGTTGTTGCAAGGAGCTTGGGTCCTGGACAAATTGCCCACCCCCGAATAAGGCTGGAGCTGGTCTGGGTGAGAAATTCGACAGTTTAGTATTGGTTTTGAATTTGCCTATTCTAAGAGTAGTATTGGGGACTCGGCGTTCTGCGAAAAATACTATTTATTAATAGGGTCAATTTAGTAAAAGGGGGAAGAGAGTAAAGCTAGCATAGCAGAACGTAGCATGTATCACGTTACTTGCAGCGCGGACAGAAACACAACAGCATCGTACCGCATGATATGAGGCACACACACGCACAAACGCGCACACACACACACACGAGCACACGAGCACACACGTGAGCACACACACACGAGCACACACACGAGCACACATGCACACGCGGGCACACATGCACCCCCCCCCCCCACACCTCTGCGTCTCACAGGTGCGAAAGAAGACACACGCCACAAGCAAACACAAAGAAAGCACATGTGTGCACCGCACACGAATGCAACAATGAACGCCGGTGATCAAAAAAGAAGAGTGCAGCATCCTTTTCTGTGGCGTTGTTGCAGCGCTGGCTCCAGCCCATTCTGCATTGAGCAGTTTGAAGTTGGTTTCACGCAGTCTTCGTGAGGTTCGCAGGCTACAAACGGTATCAAACATTATTGCGCGGGAGGGCGGTGCGCGGCCGTGCGCGCTGAGAAGTTAGGCTGCGCAGCATTTGCGCGAAGATTCCTGTGAAAGACGCGCTCAGTTTGAACCCTGAGAAGTGCAGGGGGTGGGCTGCTGGGCTGGGTATTTGGGTTTTGCTGCATGATTTGCCCTCTGGCCTTCTTTTCTTCCACAAGCAGCTTCTGGGCCCAGCATGTCCCATAGACTGATGCATGTGTCATGGAAATTGATTTGGTTTGTGGAGGCAGGGGCCATCGTGTTTTAACCAGCAAGGCGTGAACCTTTTGCAGAGGGTCTAAGTCTGGCCACGTTTCCACGGACCTGCACTGAGGCTGCTACTATGGCACGGCGGCTTGGACAAGAGGCTCCTTCTTGGCTTCTGCGCAGAATTTGTGGTAGTGGCAGCCCCGTTGTTCAGTAGCATTCGTTTCCGTCTATGATTGTTTGGTGGGTTTCCAGCTAAATATTGTCAACGGCTCGCGCGTAGCAGGGTTAGGTCACTGCAGTTTCGGGTCATCTTTTTGAGCAGCGGTTTGTTCCTGAGAAAGCTGCTCGTCGCGGAAACAACGTTGGCTTAAATTTACATACTTTTTTCCCGAAAGCATGGCGAAGGGTTCTTCCGCTGGGTTCACTTGAGTTGTTCTCATGAGAGTCATTACAAGGTGTCATTGCAAGGAATCATCATCATGAAAGTTGCCAGGGAGTCTCATTGCAAGGAGTCATGCGTTTGTTCCAAACAAGGTTCTCACAGCAATGCTCCTGGTGCTGCCGCCTTGAAGAGCAACACTTGCAACTTGCACTTGACTCCATGCACTTGGCTCCTTGCACTTGGCTCCTTGCACTTGGCTCCTTGCACTTGCAACTTGCACTTAACTCCGTGCACTTGCGACTTGCACTTGACTCCATGCACTTGGCTCCTTGCAACTTGCAATGGCTCTCATGACTCCTTGCAATGACTCCTTGCAATGACTCCTTGCAATGACTCCTTGCAATGACTCCTTGCAATGACTCCTTGCAATGACTCCTTGCAATGACTCCTTGCAATGACTCCTTGCAATGACTCCTTGCAATGACTCCTTGAAACAAGCAAGGAGTCAAGTGCAAGTTGCAAGTGCAAGGAGTCAAGTGCAATTGACTTGCGAGGAGTTAAAATCTCTTCTTAGGGCGGCGGGGTAGTGCCGACGACACTACACGAAAATCGACCCTCTGCGGGGATCGGCGTGGTCGAGGTGCAAAAACCCATGGTTTTTTGCGATTTCCAACATGCCCGCGCGACCCTCTGCGGGGATCGGCGTGGTCGAGGTGCAAAAACCCATGGTTTTTTGCGATTTCTGCGGTGCTCGCGCGACCCTCTGCGGGGATCGGCGTGGTCGAGGTGCAAAAACTCGAGGTTTTTTGCGATTTCACCCTCTGCGGGGATCGGCGTGGTCGAGGTGCAAAAACTCGAGGTTTTTTGCGACTTTTGTTGTTCGAACTGGTCCTCGGGAGTTGTCTCGTGGTTCGCGCGCCTGCTCCCGGAACCGGCGGGTCGCGGGTTCGATTCCTCCCTGGTCCGCGGGCGGGCGTCGCAAGATGCAACTTGCATTTTAAAGCAACTTGCGCAGAGCAACTTGCGCAGAGCAAGTTGCACAGAGCAACTTGCGCAGACCAACTTGCACCGACCAGTTTGCGCAGAGCGCCTTGCCTAGAGCAACTTGCGCAGAGCAACTTACGCAGAGCAACTTGCACAGAGCAACTTGCACAGAGCAGCTTGCACAGAGCAACTTGCAGGGAGCGCAATTTGCACAAAGCAACTTGCAGGGAGCCACTTGCAGGGACCAACTTGCCGGAGCAACTTGCGCGGAGCAACTTGCGCAGAGCAACTTGCACAGTGCAACTTGCGTAGAGCAACTTGCGGAGACCAACTTGCACCGACGAGTTTGCGCAGAGCACCTTGCCTGGTGCTGTCTCGCGCTTGCTTCACGAAGTGTAGGGAAAAAGAACGCATCCTGCAGCGTTGGGCCGACCTCGCTTGCGATGTTCTGCTTTCGGGCCAACCGTGGTCTAGTTTTGAAGAGGGGCGAGAGTAAGAATCCCCAACCTCAGACTGTTCAGCCCCTTCCCATTTCACCCGAAAACAGTGGGCTTACCCAAGCAAGATTGCTCATGTAGGTGCCTCAGACTATGGTACCAAGTACTGTTACATACACATAAGAAGCACCCCTTCCTTGTGCAAAAGCACAGGCAGCCACTATTGTAATTTGTTCGGACACCGGCACTTTTTGGCCCGGTAGCGCCAACTTTTGCTTGCCAATGAATGTCTGCCTTCCATCCGTTGATTTTCGAAAGGTGGTACACAGCAGCTTGAAGCTGGAGAAGAGTTGAGCAGCATGGGATTCAATCAGATAGAATCAGGTCAGAGGGGCGGCTATATATGCAAGATGCAAAGAGGTCTAATCCGGATCCTTCAGCATTGGGCACGCGGTCGTGGATCATCAGGATCATCAATGTGAGCCACAATGAAAGCCCGGGTAGATGAAGGTTAGTAGGGGGCAGTCTCAGCCTGAAATAGTTGCGGCCGCCTGCTTAATTCTTTACATGGTTCTGGGTAGACCATGTTAATACCGGGTTTTGATTGTGACTCATGTGCCTATGTTTTTCTTCAGGTATTCAGTGAATGGAGTCAAGCTAGTTTGAAGCAACCACTCCTGCGGCATCGCCAACACTAAACCGCATTGGGCGCAGAATCATTTCGCGTGTCATGTGATCCAGCAGTGCATGCCTTGTTGTGAGTGCTCATGAGCCGATTCTGATAGGATGTGCCGTCCACATGTCGTTGTTATGGATATTTTGTCGTTTGCTTCTGTTCTTTCTTCTTTTTTTTCAGGGGGGGCAGGGTGGGCCCTGAAGCGGCATTGGGACGTTTGGGGAAGCCAGCCTCAAGGAATGCTGCTCTTCAATTACGTGTCGCCAAGCGCGCTGATCTCGTCGCGGAAGCCACTGCTGACCTGGGAGGAGATGTTCTTTGTCGTCATAGCGGCTCGGGTGAATGTCGGTTCCTTCAGGGTTGGGATGGTGACGAAACATCACCTGGAGTGAGTTTCCTTTTGTGATTGTGGGGTGGGTGCAAGGGGGAAGTAAGGGTACCATTCAAACTCCAGCTGCGCGAAACAAAAACAATGTGCTGCAGCTTCTGAAACGTGGTTGACCGCACAGGTGTGTGTGTGTGTGTGTGAGAGGTATGAATTAGAACGAATGCTGATTTTGCATGCTGTTGGCCGAGGGTTGCTGCCAACGCTTGGCGGTTCATGGTGCTTGCCTTCCTTCTCAAGAGTGTATCAAGACCTTACTGATGCACAGTCAAGAAACGGCGCTTGTTTAGATATGCTGCTGCTGCTGCTGCTGCTGCTGCTGCTGCTGCTGCTGCTGCTGCTGCTGCTGCTGCTGCTGCTGCTGCTGCTGCTGCTTGGGCCTTGCGTGGCAGGGGGCATTGCTGTGAGATGAGCATGGGACCCTTGGACCCATGCTGCGGCCAACATGAGATGCCAGGCCCAAGTTGTGCTGGCCTCCTCAATCGCCTACTTGGTTCTCCTGCTGGTCTACTGGAGACTGAGCGTCTGGCTGGAGTGGTGGAGGATGGGCAGTGTTCTTGGCCAGAAGCCCCACGCAACTTGTGCTTCAGATGCTGTAGCTCGCCGCTGCCTTCCCCCAACTTGCGAAATGATGGAGACCCAGACTAGTCAATCCGTCTGGGCAAAATTTGATGGAGGTTTTTATGTCTGAATTCCTTAGTTCCAGTTTGGAAAGCTGCCCTCACAGAGGCTTTGCTTGAGGTCCGCACACAAGTGGGTGTGACGGTGCCCTTTCTCCACTACATGGGGTGGGGGTTGGTACGGGAGGGCGTCACATTCAATTCTTGGGAACAGCGGTCTCGCCAAACTGTCTTCTCTCAGCTGCGCACGTCGTTTGAAGAGCAAAAGAAGTTGTGCGGAGACTAATGAGAAGTGGACCTTTGCACAACCTTTGGCTGCTGTTTGCGGAGTGCTCACCCAAAAAAGCCATACAGTACTTCCATTGACTCGGCGCATCCTTTGCAATCAGCAGGAGCAGGAAGCCTCAGAAGCACGGAAAGCACGGCAGCGCAGTCATGACGGACCAGGTGCGCAACCGCTGCACTTGTTTGGCTCGCGTTGGATTGGACGGAACATGACGGAACCATCCATATCGCCAAATCTTGCCCCTTTTGTCAGTTGCTCAGCACTGAACCAGGAATCCACAGGTTCCTGAGTTTGGCACCCAGGCCACGTAGGGCATGGGTTGGTTCTCTATCGGTTTTTGGTGGTCACATTTGTGCGGTATTCATATGTTTTGGTTCCCTCTTAAGGTTTATCCTCACAAGGAAGTCAGTGTATGGGGGTCTTCAGGGCAGGGCTTGACCCTAAATGTTCAGGGGTCCCCTAGTTTGAACAGCATCTATTTGTTTTGCTTGGAGTATTCACTTCGTGTTAGTTGCGCGCGTCTGTTTCCACATTCTGCTCAAGGGTGAGCAAGCGGCCGCAATTTGGCATTGTTTGTTCCGACCATTTTCAGCTTGCTGAAGAACAGGCGGTTTCTACCTTTCGACCTGGGCCTCGGAAAACTATCCAGCGATACCCAGCGTGTTGTGGGACTCTTCTGATGCCTTTTGGGACTTACCACTTATTACCACAACGCCTGGGGGTCTAAAGCTCGTCTTAGCCCTTAGCCCCTTTTCCCCCTCATGGGGATGCCATCCATTGGCTGAGCCTGGGATTTTCGGACGCGCTAGGCGTTGACGCTGGTGTCCATGGCGCCCTCAGCACCTCCGCCGCCCTCAGCCCCGCCGTTAGGCTCATAGCCAAGCCTCGAGGGCAAAGGAGCCATTCCGGGGCCCCTAGGCCTACTGTTTTTTTCCTCGCCCCGAGTATGTTGACTATTTGGGGGGATCAAAGTCGGCTTCCGCCAGGATCTGGCAGCCCAGACGACAAGCTTTTAAGAAGTTGAGGGACCATAATTGGCATAGTTGCCTTTGCTTGTTCCTTTTGCCTGTTAACCTTTTGGAACATGATTGAAGCTTTGTCTTCACAAAGCATGACTTGGAAGGCCTCAAGGAGAATCTAGAAAAGCTTGCCAGGGCAGCGGGTACAGGCCAGATGCAATCCTGCATCTTGCAACTTGCGCTTCGCGCCGTCTGGTGGCGTGGATTCGCTTCGGCCAGCAGGCAAGTTGACAGATCGGGAATGATATACCCTTGGACACTTCAGTTTCTTGGGCATTCCCTCAGCCGCGTAGGGCTTTCCAGGGAGCCCAGCTTTGTTCAGGGCAATGTAGTGGCTTCCTGAGTCCGCCAATGCTAGCCGGGATCGATCTAGAGCAGTTTAATCGTTTTCGGGCCACGGGCTTGTTTCAAAATGCCGGGAACTGCCAAAATGGCTGTTTCCCTGAAGCATGGCACGCCCAAAGGAGGGTATGCTGAGGTGCGTTTTAGCTCTGCAAGTTGCCACGAATCCACGCGCACCCAAGCGGCATGCAAGACTGCAAGACCCCAAAACAGTGCGCCTGCTTGGCTGGTGGTGAAGGGTTTCCGGGGCGATCAGTGTGGTCAGACAAACGTGTAGGGGGTATACTACGACCACCCCTCGTGAACTCTGTAGAACTGTGGCCCATCTCGTCCTGAAATATGTGGGTTAGCGAAACCCTTCGCCGAATACTGACTGTTTTTGTTGAGAATGATTGTGGCAACATTCGGCAACTTGTGCGCAGAACCTCTTGTTTATCGCATGGGTTCGCCACATGGTGTGCGTGTGTGCCGCCCCTCGCCGTTTTCGTCTCATGTTGGTTGCTTACAGCCAGAAAGCATAGTTGTTGTTTTTGGAAGGGGGGCGCCTTGCTTTTTTGGAGGCTCCAGAAGGAGACCAGGTGACAGGGCTCATTTTGAGGGTTTCATATTGTTTTGGCACAATCTAAAATCCAATTGCAAACGGAATGACATCACCAATTGAACAGCATTGCCCCTTTTGTTTTGGTTCCCGATTTGAAATGAGCAAGAAGGCAGAAGAGACATTTGTTGGTAAACACGTGTTCAATGCTGAAAGCGGCTTTGTCCATTATCCATTGTTCAAAAGCCTCAAAGATCTCTGATGAGAGAGGGCAAGCAAACAAAACTCTGGTTCAAGACTCTGCTTAAAGCATTGTCATGCAGAAGGCGGGGATGTCTGAGACTGTGGTCTAGGTTTTTGACCTCCACCCCAAAGCCCTTTTTGCCAGCTGAGGTCCTCGTTGCCCTTGCGGCCCTTCGAGGCGCGCAAGATGGTGGATTCCTGGCTTGTACCGAGCTCTTGGCACCTTCCAACGGGGAAACCCCACCAACTCTCGAAACAAGAAAAATCTGCGGGATGCGCTGGCGCATGCGCACACGTCTGTGTTTGTGTGTGTACCCATCCAGGGACTGCTCCAAATGTGCGGCATTCTTCGACCCGAGCTCCAGTATATGATGTTCCTTTTGCATTCATTCGGGGGTGGTTGCTTGAAAGTCAACTACTTGCCAACAAGGGGATGCCCCTTTCCCCTTGGCCACGGGAATTCCGGCTCAATGCTGGCTCAACAAGGGCCGAAGTTTTAGGCCTCATGCACCTTTGAGAGCGGAAACCGGAAACCAGTTTTGATGGTGGCAGGAGCTTCACTCTTTGCTTGCATTTGTTTTGCGGTTTAGGTTATGTTTCTGGTCAGTGAAAGGTGCGGGGTGGGGTGGGGACCTAGCATTGCAACAAAGTGGCCGTTTCTTCCTGGCCATGTTGGTACAAGGTTCCTTCTTGTGATTCTCGGGTTAGGCCCGGACGCAGGGATTGATTTCATTCCCCAAAGTAGGTTTAAGCCTGGGAGGAGCGTAAGTAGGAAGCCCCATGCATTTTCCGACGTTCCGGGAAAGTGGGGAGGGCCACTCAGAGCGCATTCCAAGATATAGACCCCGAGATGGGCAGTCCGCGGAGGCAGCCTTTTGAAGGGAGAGCATTTTCCAAGACACATTGGCGACGGTTCTATGTGGTTGCTCCGAAGGAACCACCGAAAATGGTGGTGGCCCCGGAAGCAGCCCCCAAAAAGGTTGCGCAAGTTTGGTACACCCCAGTGCCCTCCGGAACTATATTCCTGTTTGAAGGCATCGTGTGTTGACATATTTAGGTTTCATTTCTTGTTGGGGGGAAGCCGAGGGAGCCCTATCTCTTCCGGATTCCGGCAGTTTTGCGTTTCAGAGCCCAGCTGCTTCGCCGCTTTGAACGTCCATTTGCCGTTTGTTGGCTCAGGGCCGTCAACGGCGCGCATCCGGGGGTTGGATGACCACCGACCACCATGAAAGAACCCCCGCACAAAGTTCAGCCATACCCAAGCTTTCTCACAAGAGGCGCATGGCAAATCTCAGCCATTTGATGAAAGCTGCTTTGCCTGATTCATTCCGGCAACATGCTGCAAGTAGAAATGTATGTTATTCCCTTTGGGCATATATTGTAGACGGGAAGCACAGTAAACAAATGTGACATGCGAGAGCCTAAGTTCAAGTGGCTGAAACATCGCGCGGCCCTCCCGGCATCTCAGTGTAGTTGGCCTGTTGAGGGCTGCCCGCGAAAAGCCAATGCTTGAGCTCGGGAGCCATGCTCTCCGAGTCTCGGATCGCACGCAGCGAGCTTTCGGGTTCCCCGACAGTCCGAAGTGTCAAAACTATGGGCGCTTTTTACAAGGCGAGGTGGCTGAACCACTCTCACAAGACAAACAATATCCCGAATAGCTCTTGTAGAATATGAAGGGGCTTCTCAGGTTTGTGTTTTTCTCCCCTCACTGAAGGAGCCCAAAAGCTTCCTTTGTGGCTTGCTTTAACTTAGACACATGGAATCCTGGAAGGTTCCATTTGAGGGGGAATTGTTCGCATCCGTTCGCATCCGAATTCGAGGCTCTATTTCACAGGCGATTTCCTATGCGCCGACGGTGCAGGCCCCAGCGCGTTGCGACCTGTGGATACGCCCATCGCTGGGACCTTTGTTGGCTTTGTGTCATTTGTTCAACTGCAGCAGTTCGAATTTTCTTTGAACCAGGTTCGAACCCAGGTTTGAACCTGAGTCCAACTGGAACCAGCTTTCGATTTTACCCTTTCTCCACCCATCATGGGAAGCTGACCGGCTTCCGATTGGCGCCGCGCAGCTTACATTCATCAGCAGCAAGTCCATTTGGACCACATTGGCCTACCAAACATGAGAAGAGTTTGGGAACACTACAGGGTTGTGTGCATGTCTATGGCTGTTGGAAGAGGGTAAGGTTCACTTTATCTAGAATCAACCTAATGATTTTAGTTTTTCCGAGCTAATCAACAATGTGAACCTGGAGGCAATCATGCCGCATTGGAGCGGCATGAATTGCAACGTTTGCGGTTCTCGCACCAGCACCCTTTACCTGATACTTGAGCATTGTGAAGGAACGTGGGAAAGGGTTCAGCTCCCTGCAAACAAGGATGTTGGGTTCCATTGGACATTTGCAAATCAAGGCCAGCATTGCTGGTTTCGGGATGTTTCGGGATTGGTGGGTATTGGGCAGGTTTCCAGTAGCCAGGGCATGGCAATAGGCCTGCCACACCGCATGATTTCGATGCCGCAGCCACCAAGGCAGTGTCTTCTGTTCCAGACCGTGGCGATCTTTCAGCGATCGATGGTGACGTAGAGGTCATCTTCTTCGATTTCGACGGCACCCTCACAGAGCTGGCCTGGCAGGTTTTAATCCGGCCGCTTAACACCACACAATGCTTCATGTATCTTGTAATTAATAATTTACCCCTGAGGGGACGCCAGATGACGCCAGTCGATGCCCAGTTTCTGTCAGCCTGGTGCCAAGGCATCAACGAGACTCTGCTGCCCACTTGGCTGGGCACATGCAAAAAGGGCGGCGTTGTCTTGAGACCGCCACGGCAAAGCACGTATTCGCAATTCGATTTCAATCCACCCTCAAGCCGCCCAGACCGGCCCAAACGGGGCCAACCCGGTAACCCGTGCGATGGGCCAGCCCGAAACAGGCCCAGCCCCCTTCCCCCCATGGACAAAATATGTAGAGCAGTGGAACAACTTAGAAGGCTGGGTGGTTCGACATGTTTTTCTTCTTCTCGGTTTTTTAAAGATTGCTGGGTGGTTCAAACTCATGAACCCTTTGCGGGCTTCCATTTGAAGAATCCGCGGGAGAACGGGGGCCGCTTCCTTTGCGCCAGGACTCCAGGCACCAAGGCTTCCCATGCCGGCAAGCTGAGCGAGCTGTCCGAGAGGATGGGCGACTTCAAATCAGAATGGATACCAAGAGGTTCAGTCAGGGGTCTATGTGGGTCACTCTCTGCCAGTTGTTTTCTGAAGCTTGGGGGAGGACTTCTTCAAGGGTTTGTTCCGCGGTTGCGGGTGGACTTGGCGCTTTGAGAAGTGGCTTCAAAGTTGTCACAAGACTTGGTCGATGGTTCGATGCGCCCTTCCAAGACTGACATCATCACAGGACAAGATGGATGCGAGGGCATGTCTGTGTTACCTCGGCCACGGACAACACCACGTGCTGGCAAGTAAGCAGAAGCCGAGAAAGTTCCAACTTCAGGAGCAAGTCTTCTTAGGTTCCATAAGCTGCTTAGCTTTATAAAAGCTCCACATCACGTGCCCGAGCCTTCGGAGCAGTCTTGAAAAGGAGCTGACATGCAAAGCATCACTGATTGCACGTTGGACTTGAAAGGGTTTAGGGCAAAGCCAGTTTAAGACTGGCAGCATGGAATGATGTGGCCTGATGTCAGCGGGTTTCATGTTGATTTCCAACAGACCTTATGAGTTCGCCACTTGTTCAAACCCACATCCCCAACCATAAAATAGCGGCAACTTCATGGCCCCTCTTCAATCCTCAACCAGAAGGCATTCCCAAGCCGAGCTTACTTGTTTGCGCGCTTTGTGTGGTTGGTTTTGCATCACGGCGTCGCCTGGCATCTCTCCAATAGGACTCCCATGCTGCGGCCTCGTCTCCAGCGCTTGCGAGAGGCCTGGCAATCCGTCCAGGGCCGCCGGGGACTTGTTGCAGGGCTCCTTGTCTTTCCGGTCTTTTCCTAGGGCGGCTTAAGCATCATCTCAGCTCTTCAAGGCGGTTGGGCACCAGGAGCATTGCTGTAGAACCTTGTTTGGAACAAATCGCCGAAGAGCCTGGATCAGGGCACACTCGGACCTGCATGACGGTATATACATATAGAACATATTGTAATACGTGCCAAGATTTCATGTATGCACGTTTGGCATGTTTCGGGATGTGAAGTGGCAGTGCTTCAGTCATGGACTCTGTGCGTGTGTGTGTGTGTGTGTGCGCGCGCAGCATGATTGCCAACGCATGTGGCGTCAGTGTTGGTATTGTTTGGGTGTTTGCATGTTGGTAGTTGCTCTGTGTGTGTGTGTGTGTGTGTGTGTGTGTGTGTGTGTGTGTGTGTGTGTGTGTGTGCGTGTGTGTGTTTTTGCTTAGTGCGGTGTATGTTTGTGATGTTTCTTCTAGCGTGCGAGCGTGCTGGTGTGCTTGAAGATGCCCCCTTGTGCCCTTGGCATGTTCACTGGTCTGTTGAAACATGACCCGCATCGGGTTACGACTGGCGCAGGGGCTGTAAACGAGAGCTATCAGAACTGTTTTCTTGCCACGCAAGCAGGGGTGCAGCCTTCAGACAGCCAAAGCTCAGAACGCAGAGTTGCGCTGCTTCTTTGCGCAAGGCCAACAAACAGTTCGCCTAGAGCGCGCATTGCAGAATCTCCCGACTTTGTGCAACAGCCACCACCAGCACGCCGTCGGTTTCAGCGGCCAATGCTCTCGCTCGGAGTGATCCTTGTTGGGTCTCTCCTCTCCAACTCTTAATTGGCTTTCAGATGTCCATGGGTCGCCCCAAAAGACCAGTTTATACCCACAATCTCCTTGGAGGGTAAGCAACGGGGATGAACATTTGTCGGAAGCCCACCTTGTTCGAGCCTTTGACTTTCCAATTGCCGCCAATCCATTGCAGGAGACCGCAAAGGTGCTCACCTACCCTTTCCATTGCACCCGACAGCGGGTCCTTTCAAGAGGAAATTTGCGAGCCCTGCAAGTGGAAAGAGGTTGTTTTTGTTGTTTGGTGGATTCCCCATTTGTTTTGTTGTGGTTTCTGTTGTTTGTTGTTTTTGTTGTTTGTTTGTTTTTGTTTGGAGGTGTTCATCCCCATAAAGATCTGTAAATCATGCATAACGACTCTTTTCAAGGGTGCGTGGTTGCAGCTGGGTGTATTTGGCGCCCTGTTGTGAGGCCGGGATCATGCTGGGGGTCATCTCCAAGAGCACAGAGCAGACGGTCACCGGCGCCCTCCAAGAGACGGGCGCCTTGAACAACAATGGGCCGCCCAAAGCAAGAGCCTATGTCCACAAAATAAGGCCTTACAATCACATACTGGGCAGCAAGGTCTTGTGAAGAAACCTGGCTGAGCTGAGAGGTTTTCAAAATCAGCTGTGATCATTTTCCTAAAACCCATCACTTGCGCCATGGCTTGCTTGTGGGGGGCGGGGGAGGGGCATGCGCAGCTTTAATGTCCATCCTTATCCATTTGACCTGCTTGTGGGACGGACCCCTGGGGCATTCGCCAACAATTGCTGATTGAGTCATTGAGCTAGCCCGACTCGCGCGACTGGAGGCTGTTCTAGGTTTTCCTTCCAACAGCGCTCCCGTCTGGTCGGCTCGATCAACTGCCTTTTAGATGCAACCTTTGCGGGGAGGAGCCAGGAACCCCCGCAGCCACACACGTACGGAAGCTTCTGCTTCTTTTGATATGTGCCGTTGATTTGCTAGACGCCGGAGACATCACAAGGAACAGCATGCAGTGTTACTTAGCGATGGTTGTCTGAAGCCTAGTGGGTGCCGACAGTCGGGGACAGCAAACGCCTGGGCCGAGGATTGATTGAGCTCATCAACGGCCCCATCGTTGGCAAGGCATGCAGCTCATTGTGTGCACTTGGCACCAAGATGATGGCCTTGAGCTTGTGAAGCAGGTCCTGCCATCATGGGAACAGAACCAAATTTACCGACCTTGTTGCAAGACTTGCGGATTTGGATATCAGCTGTTGCTGGGGATCCTGAAGTGTTGTTCCAGGGTGATGAGATTGCATGATTATCGTTGTGATGGGCTAGCAAACTGTTGATTTAGTATGTTTTAGGCTTTTTAGTGGCGGAGAGTTACTTCCCGTGTGTTTGAAGTAATGATTGAAGTAATTTGTTGGTTATCTTTTTTGCTGGGCTTTAGGCATTGCGGCACCGTGTTCTGGCCTCGAGGCAAGATGTGCATGCACGCAACACACATCAGCATGCAGCTTGGCTTTCTTTGGTGTCAAATAGCGCCACAAAACCGAATCACTTTGGCATGCGTACGCTTTGCAGGCCAGCTGACGCTTGCAGGAAAATGTTCCTTTTCGCTCACGGCACTTTCTTATACATGGGGGCGCTCACTTGCAAGTGGATACCCTCAACAAGGTTTCCGGGACGGGCTACAATGCGGACACTCTACATGTGTTTGCTTTGGTGTTGAGGCTTGGCTTAAGCAAGCTCTCCATGTGACCTTTTGATCATAGGCTGACATACGTCAGTCGAAGCCACCCAGGATAGAGTACCACAGAGTTTGTTTTCTCAGATATTGTTGTGAAAAACTGGTTTTGGGTTCATGTTCAATGAAACCAATGGAGCCCCCCTAGTCCGCACAGTATCTCCAGAGCCGACCTGACATGCGCTGTCCAGTTTGCAGCTTATTGGTCTCCGTTGGTTTCCGTTGGTTTGCGTTGGTTTCCGTTGGGCAATCGGGTCTTTTGGACATTTGTTGGTACTGGGCCCACGTCTTGCCTCGCAGGCTGCGAAGCTGGACGGCAAGGTGGGCATCATTCAGGACTTGTACGCGGAGGGCGGTAGCTTAGCTCACCTAGGCGCGGAAGGGATGGAAGGCTTTCTCGGGATGAGCGAATGCTTGGGAAATTGAAGGCCTGTTTACCAATCCGACGAGCAAATCAGCGTGCAAATTGGAGGTGTCCAAGCATCAGCTCAGAGAAGGTTTGGGCTTAAGAGGGATAAGTTCTGGTGAAGCCAACATGCTCGGCGTCACAAAGTGTCCATTCCCCGAGTCGGAAGTCAGGAGGACTCCTCCCGCAGCGTCCGCAAAAAGCTGTGTAGCCAAGTCTTTAGTCGCTTTCTGTGCTTGGGCATCTCTTGGGCACCCGTGGCATGGTTAGACGATTTTGCTGAACAATCACGCAAGGGGCCTTGCTTGGTGGAGTGGCCAATGGGTGGTGCACGGTGATGTACGTGGGGATTGTGTGCTTGAGCCACTAAGTCTCCAGACCCTGAAGAGAAAAACATGCTAGACACATACGTAGCATTAGGCATGGTGACCTGACGGCGTGGAAGAGAGAGAGAGAGAGAGAGCGAGAGAGAGAGAGAGAGAGACGAGAGAGAAAGAGAGAGAGAGAGAGAGACGATAGAGAGAGAGAGAGAGAGTGAGGGAGAGAGGGAGAGAGGGAGACAGAGACACATGTCAGCCGTTTTACAATGCCTGACCAAGATTGTGAAAAGGGTGTTTTCAAGGGTCTACGTCTACGTGCAAAGCACCTGCATCGCGAAAGGTCACAAAGCCCGTACAGCGACCTGCTGTGTAAAAAGCTTATTGGGTGAGCCTGACTGAGCAGCTGCTTTGTCATGTTGATTGGAAAGGTGTGTTGACCCTGGACCTTCCGGAAAGGGCAGGATCGCTGGAGTTGAGATGAGGCAACCGTTTGTGAGTTGGTTTGGATTCATGGTTTGTTATGTTTGTTATTTGAACTCTGGCCGTTGATGAAACTACATTATGGGAATGTACCCCTGCAACCTCCTCACTACTGCCAAGCCATCGAGTCCCGCCAATCCAAACGAGTCTAGGGATAAACCGAGCTCACCCATGGTGAAGATCCCTTGTTAGGGAGTTCCTTATTTTTCAGTTTTGTGTCTTTGATTGTTTCATAGAATTGTCCAGACTCATGAGAGGCTCGGAAGCGTGGGAGAAGGCCCTGCTGATCGACGACGACATCTCAGCAACCCATCGAAAACGGAGGGGGTGTTTGGGGAGTTTGGGGGGTTCAACCCCAACCATTTGCAACTATTTTACGGATATGTTGAGGGTAGTCTTAGTGACGCACTGATGTATCGCATCCCAACATGACTTACCTTTAGAACACCTGCACTACTGCGGGGCAAAAGCGGGCCGCATTTTGCCACCTGACGCCACACATTCAATGGTTCCTGGGCCAGCCAGGCTGTCTCCTAGCCGAGCCGCTCACTTGTGGGGAACATGACCCATGGTGCAGGATAAGCGATACGGAATTCTTAAGACAGAGAAACCAAGTGCAGACACAAATGCAAGCCCGGCGAAGTTGTGTTGAATTTGGGTTAGGATTGTTGAAAAGAAGCGTGCCTGGAATTTCGCAAATGGCGGGCCGTTCGCTAGCCTCAAGTGTCCGTATTGAGCGCAACACAACAAATCTGCCGCATGCGCTGATGGAAGGCCCCGTCAAAGGCACACATCGCGCATGTTGGAAATGCCTCCCCCAAGTCACTTTTCATTGCAAGTGCTGCTTCCCAAAGCGCAGGGCTAATCCATGCCCTGCAAAAACAAACCGTGACCACCAGTGGCATACAGAGCAACGGCTGACGGCGTGTTAAGAACGCCCGCATGATCACAATTAGAACGCGGTGCATTCCCCAAAGCCCGGGGAATATGTGAAAGGAGTGCAAACACCAGGAAGACATGAATTAATGTTTTTGCCGGTTGGCCGCCCAGAATATTGATCAGCGCTGGGCAACTGTGGTAGAGCAGTGGTGTTTCTGCATATGTAGGTGTGCGCTTTCCAGCTCGCATCGTGTGCGCAACCACCTGGAGTTGTTTGCTGTGATTGGCTTGCATCATTCCAGCTGCTGACAACATATGAGCTTCCCAGTTAATTTTGTGTGCGACAATTCTCAACTGCACCGCTTTTCTGTTATTTTTACTTCCCTTGCTTACGCCAAGGAGCTTGTTTGGGCTCGCGACGTCGGCATGCAGACCTTCGCCGCACCTGCACAGGCCAGCTGTGAACTGAGGTCTGCTCGGCCCCCACCCGAGCCCCAGCGCAATAGGTGGAACACACACACACACACACTCACATCCTTTCCTTTTGGGGAGTGGTAACCCTTTGCTGGATGGCCTATACAATCCCCGGTGTTTGAACCGAATCTTAGAGGATGGGCTGGTTTGATATTGTTCTCAGCCGCGAACGTTTTCGCAACTGGCCAGGTCAGTCAGGATTCTGCAAACAATTGGGTGAAACCGGGCCTGCCAAAGCAGTCTCCGGTCCTTTTCGGTCCTGTTTAAGTGGCAGGGCAGACCCTGTGGAGGTTCCAAAGAAAGGAGTCTTGGCCAAGGTTCTTTGGGAGACATTTTGGCCCCCCTAAATGCAAGCCAATATGACAAAGAACCGGCCCAATCAAGTCAGCCACGTGCTGCACACTTGTCAGATTTCGACCTGCGAGCCTATCCGAGTTTGGACTAAGCTTGCGTCCTGATGCAAAAACAAACTCATATTTCGCAGATTAATATTTAACCCGCAAAGGCCTCAGTTGTTGTAAAAAGGACCGCCTCCTTTGGTAAAGGAGAAAGCGAGGTTACTTTTTAGAAGCATCGTGTTGGATGCAATGGGTCCAACCACTGGCCCCATGATGACAGTTGCTTTCTTGCTAGTTTGTTTCTTATTTCAGCTTGGTAGCTCATATTAGTTCGCATTTGGGTGACTAAGTAGTCACCCAAACTCGCTGCGTATGTTATAAGTCGGGTGATGGCAGTCATTTGGCAGGTTGTGTCGGTGGCAAGGCTTTTTGTTGTTATAGCCAAGTGAACTGGGGGAGGGGGCAAGGGTTGATCCACCCATCGCAGGCCTGCAACATGGCTTTCTCATTCTGGAAGATCAGCAAATCTGATGGTTTGGCCCTCGTTTCCAGACTTGTTTCTTGACGCAGGGACGCCCCACACTTCGGTCGCTTAAAGGGTACTGCAACCCTCAGTGCTATGGTCAGGAAACTAAGGAAGGATACAAATGGAGAGGTGTAAGTTCCTGGTGGGTGTCCCTGAGCAGAGGCTTCAAAGAGGCTTCCCTTCGATCGCCGCAACCCAAAGGAGGCTGTGGGTTAAAACCAATGGTATCCCATTTTCAGGTAGGTGAATTCACCATCCATTTTAGAACCTATTTTAGTGGTTGGATTGGGATGTTCACTGGGGGTATGATTTGAGTTTTGACCCATGGCCGGTTCTCCCTGCTTGGGGCACTGCTTGGGGCACGCTTCCATTTGGTTAAGAATATGTGCTATTTCCCCCTGTTGGTTTTAAAGGGAATCTATCACTACTGGACAAGTTTTTTATTTTTCCCGGGGTCTGAAGCAAATGGAACCAAGGCAACCCCCGAAACGCCCCGAAGCGGCAAAACCCGCAGGGCGGGCTCCAAGAGGAGGACTTCCACGAGCTCTTCCGGGGCCTGGGGCTGCAGAGCGACCGGCCTGCCTGGCCTCGGTTTTTCTTTGCTCCAGGGCGAAGCCAGCGGATCTGACACCGTGGGTTTTGTTTTTCTAGTTTTTCTTCTCCAAGCTCTTCCATTTTTGGTCGAGGTCCCAAGAGGTGAACACCTTGGGCTTCCAGGTGTTTTTTTTCCCTTGGGGGGGAGATAAATTGAAGTGAACATGGCGGAGAGTCTTTGACGTGAGTCTCTGAAGCACGCGGATTCAGAGCCATTTGCATCTAGGGTTGTGGGGCACTGGGAAAACAACTAAAACAGAATGATTCCCATTCTTGTTTTTGTCCATTCGGTTCCCCACCACAATGATCAAGCATAAAAATCACGTGATTCCTTTGTCTTCGTAAAGTTTCCTGCTAAGTTGATCAACCCAACCGGTTCCGTTTCTCTTTCAGCCAGATTGTTCCCAACTACCGTGATCCTCACACAAAGAAGCGTTTTCCCATTTTATGTTTTCCACAGGTTCCAGGAGAGCTCAGGCTGGTTGCAGAGGAGTATCCTGCACGTGTCCCCTGCCTCCTTTTCGCCAGGTTCCGTTGTACCACTTATAGCAAGGTGCCTGGTTAACACGATAGCTTTCTGACGGCTTGCTTCATTCCAGTTTTTCTCAGACATTATCGACTCCAAAAGGACATGGCCTCCTTGTACCCTCAAGGCACCAGTTTTTCTGTTTTTTGACTTCCAGAGCTTCATTCTTTCTTGTCAGGCCATTTTACTGGCAACTGAAACGTCTGGTCTTGAATCGCCCGCTCCCCTTTCCCCCCGTTTCGCCAGGTCGGAAGGTGGCTCCATGGACCCCACCACACCTTTGGCGCAGCCCAAGTGCCGGAAGCGGCTCCGGCCGGTGAGGCTCGAGGACATCGCCTTTGAGCCGCTTGGACGAACAGCGGGGGGGGCTCCATCCTGAGCTTCTTGGGCATAACCAGCGCATAGCGCCCCGAAAACCCCACGCTGATCGTTATAATTTTAAATGGCTTCCGTGAAAGGAACGCCCTGCATTGCGAAAGCGTGTTCCTGAAAATGGGGTCCGCAAAAGGGATAGTGTGTGTGTGTGTGTGCGCGACGGCTTTTGAGCTTTCTATGCCTTAATTGTCTTGTTGAATCAAGGGTTCTAACAGAGTGCGTGGATTCGTTGCCGTCGCCTCCGCTTCCAATGTGAGATTGTGTGCCATCAGGCTTAAGAAAGTCGCTGGCGCATGTTTGGCCGGCGGGGTTGAGGGCTGACATGCAGCCAACATGATTGCGATGTTTGATGGCCGCCGTATCGTTGAGTAGGTTATTGGCATACCGTGTACGCTCATCGAAACAAAGCCCCGATGGGTCTGGAGTTTTGAGCGAATCGATCCCTATCCGGAAGCTGCGCTCCTTGAACCGACGGTGCGCAACAAGCCGAGAAACCAATGTCATCCACACGTGCTGTTTTCAAGCTTGCGCCCTGTGTGGTGGGTTCGGTTTGGGGTGAGCTTGGTTTGAGGTTATGGGTTTTGGTTGCAGCGTGCTTTTGACAGTGCCGGAATAAACGGATGTGCCACATCTTGGAAAGTCACATTTGGGAACAGGCCTCAGTATAAAGTCAAGCTCGGATTCCGAGAACCAGAGCTGACTCCCCTTCAGTAAGCTTTAGGAGGGCATCCTTCATGATTCTCGGGGGATTCCTTTTGAGTAGGTCTCATGAGGAGTACTCTCATAAGGCTTGGGTTGAAGCGGCGCGACTCGATGGCTTATTTCACTCGCCAAAGGTCCCCAATCGATGCCAGTAGCAGTAACTCTGCAGTAGCTTGGACGATGTCTGTGCTTTGTCTCAACGCCCTACCTCATTCGCTGGTCACCTGGTAAGGGGCACAGGCGCACCTACAAAAGATCGCCTGGATTCAGACCCGCTGCTCGCTTTTGCAAATGGGAGTAGCCCCAGGGACGAGAAGATTTGCAGCCTGTGGACGCAGGCGCGGCCAGTTGGACCGCAAGAATGTGCCACCAAACCCGGGAAGGGCAATTCAGATGTCCCATTGTTGTGATACCATAAGGGTTGCTGTTTGGTGTGCACAGTGTGTTTGGGTCCTTGACGCTCCCTTGCTCGCATAATGCCCCGCTTGACCAAATCAGTCGTTGATCGGTGGTAGGCGAAAATATCCCTTGACCGGGTTGTCCAAGGCGAATTGATCGATTGAAAGTTTGCTTCAACCAGTGTTGCTCCTCTTTCCGCCCTGGCCTTTACAGATTCCGCTTCATTGCATTTGTTTGGGATCCCGGCATGTTCGCCTGCCAGAAGGCCCCTTGGAAATTTCTGATGGCCCCTTGTGGGTTTCTGAATCTTGGGCGACCTGCAAATGACCGGAGGCACCCCCCAAAAACGAGACTCCAGCCGGGGCAGGGCCTGGTTGGCCAGAAGCTCGGTCTGGAAGGAGGTGCGCGGAAGGAGTACGAGGCCTGGAGCACTGGAGGGGGGTGCATGGATAATTATTTCTCGTGCCGTTTGGGCCAGTTTGAATTGAGCCTCTCCTTTTGGTGGATGTTTTTACAGGGGTTGAAAAGAACGCCGTGGGCTTAGCTTTGTTTTTGGGCTGCCAGTTTAGTCGACTTGTAACTTGACCCTTGCCAATTTAAAGTGAGTTGTCCTTTGGGTAACCTGCAACCAACAGCGGTGATTCTAGCGAGCCCTCTTGGGAGTAACAAAAGTTTGCCCATGACTCAGACAAGTTTGAACATTGGTCGGGCGGTTTCCGAATTGTGGCCTTACCCAGCAAGTGAACACGAAATTTAACAAAGGGGTCCCAAAAGGGAATTGTAATGTCCATGCCTACAGGCCAGATTGCCTCGCCTAACATTGGCAGCCGGGAGGGCGCTTTTGATCAAATCGTGAGTGTTTTGCACTTGTTGCCTTGCTACGCAGCTTGGTAGCACGCTCACATTGTTCATCCATATGCCAACCGCAGCTTGGGCGAAGTGATTGGCCACGGGGGGGGGGTTAGCCGGCTCCCTTGATTTGGGGGGAAGAGCGTCGTGTCCTTGGCATGCAAACCTTTGTCTTGTGGCCCGGGTTGACTAGGACCTGTTGGGCTCGCATTTGATGCTTGGCGTGTGATCAACGACAAACTACTTCTTTGTCACTGGAAAGAGGTGGTAGCCATGAGCGCGCTCACCATGATTGAATTGAAGCACACCCCAATCAAAGGATTCATTTCCATTCACGATCGTTAGAGGAGCTCCTCTTGGCAGCAAGTCCAGTCTTCCACAAGCATGAATGGACCTTTGCGCTGCCACCCGGTCTGCCATATCCCACCCGAGAGTTCGGTCCAACCATGCACCGGTCAAGTCAGCCAAACATTCGAAAGCTAAAGGGCTGTGAGTGAACCATTTGGGTGTATCTCTAGGGAGCTCCCCAACGGTGCTTTTCCTTGGGCACCCTTCCGGGGCACTCTACCACCAACATTTACAACCCTCCCTTTGCCTTGCAAAGGAAGGGGGTTCCTGTCCATTTGTATCGGAAAAACAGAGCTCACCCTTGACCGAACGTTTCTGGGGATCCATTCTTTCTAGTTTGAGTTGCGTACATTTGCGTGTTATTTATGGGTTATCTGAAGATCGGGCAGGTGATGACCTTTGTACCCACTAATAAGAAGAAAACAAGCAAACAGTTTCGGTTTCCAATCGCCAGCCAGGGCAGCTCAAACAGAATACAGGCTATGGGGGTTAGTGCACTTCCATATATTCTTGCTGGTGCTCAGTAGGGGATGACCCAGGGTGTTGGGAATGGTTTATGGGGGTCATTTCCCTATTCCCTGAGAACCAGCAAGTATGGCGGGGGGCCATTGCTGGTTAGGACGATTCCGCTCCGAAGCTGATCGACCACTACGAGGTCACGGAGGAGAGCTTCGGAGACGGGCCGAAGTTGTGTCAGCCCACCAGGTGCTTCGTTTCCGGAAAAGCTTCGAGAAAGCTGGCCCTCATGTTATTTGTGGAGATTTGCGCGCCTCACTTAAATGTGAGCTGTTAATTTCTTTTTTTCAGCGGGTTGTGCGGAGGTGGCCCAGTCTAGCTGGTTGCAGCTCCGGGGAGACGAGTGGAGGGGGAAGCTCTTTCGTTTTGGTAACCAGTTGAATTCCAGCAGCAGCCTTGGGTGTACTTGTGTTCTAGGCAATGTTTGTTGCACCCCAAGGTTGAACGCTGTCAGCATTGCTTTGCTGATGTCATAAGTTCGGGCACGATTGTGATAATGACCATGACTCGTGAGTGAAACACTACTCTTCCTCAAGCCATCTCATGTTCAGGACGTGTTTCATGAGCGACTGATTTCAACATCCTCGATGGGGCCTTGTGCATGGTTGCATATGGTTGCAGCCATCCCCATTTGCATGATCCTAATGTCGCCAACCGCGGTATTAGGAAGTTATTTCTAAATTCTTATGTTTATGTTAAAATTGAATTTCATCAATCATCATTATTTGATCCTAATGTCGCCAACGGCGGTATTAGGAAGGTATTTCTCCATTATTATGTTAAAAAAGAAGGAAAGCAAACAATCTGGAGGAAATGACCGGCAAAGGGCCCACACACGAACCAGCGCTTCACTTGTTGGTTTTGTCCCGTTGGTCTGTTTGTCTAGTAGGCAATCGCTTAGTGGCAGGGAGTCCAGGACTGACACAGACCCAGGAATGACCCCAATGGGACGCGCAGGATAAGGGGAAAGGTCACCGGAAACCGAGCGTCGGATGTTTCAGGAGCTGGGTGCCGGCGCTTTTGGCACCGCCTACGTGGGCCATTTCCGGGCCTCGGGCATGCAGTGCGCTGCACCTCGGGCAAAAAGCGCCTGGGGCGGGCGCTTGCTATCCGCGAGGGAGGAAAATCTCAACCCCTCCAGGGCAAAAGGCCATTCTGTACGCCTTGTTTGGCGCTAGTTCAGGGAGCGTTTTTTTTTGTTTTTGTGGGGGGGTAGGCGCTGGGCCTTGGTTTTCATCTCATTTGCTGAAAGTGATGTGTTGATTTTTCCCTGTCAAGGTCAAAGAAACTGTCCAACGATGGTTTCTTAGATGTTGCGTTTTTGTGGTGCAACTCTGGTTTCCCTTTTTGGGAGCTTTTGATCACCAGTCCGAAAGCCAACGCGCAGTACTACGTTTTGACCTTCACATGTTGCACCCGACACAAGCCATGGCAATTTGCTGGGCCGGGGCGATGTGTTCAATTGCGCGTTGCTTTGAACTGCACAAGTAGTAGGCACATCACCCGAGTCACCCGAGCCCGCACTGCGAAAAAGGTGTGTCATTCTTATGTCTTATTTGCACGTTGCCAACTTGAAATTCAATGATTCGCCTGATGTGAAATAACAATGAACAGAGCCCCAAGCAGAGGGGTCCGGTGCCAGCAGGAGATTCCAACCAAGCAATGTTGGTTGTCGGGGTAGATGGGGCCATTTTGTTCCAACAAAGAACAGGGGGAATCCAACTTACCCGGCATGGATTTGACGCTGATTCATTGTTAACACGTCTTAGCAATCTACAGTACTGCCGATGTAAGAAGGCCTACGTGGGAGCCAAGGAATAAGAACTTGCGTTTGTTCAGACCTTCTTGATGCAAAATGGCGCGAAGGCTTTTTACATGTTGCTTCCAGCTTTGGTCAGGGCATTTGAGGCCAACGTTGTGCGTTGTACGTTCAGAACGCTGGGGGCCAAAAGGGCCAAGGCAGCTGTGGCCCGCTGAGTTCTAAGCAGGATGGCAACGGTTGGTTCACTGACCGAGGTGGGACCCCCCTCCCCGAAGCCTTGCAGCCGGCTAAGGTAAAGCTGCTGGACAGAGAGCACGTGGGGCAGATGCTCGGCGCACTGCTGTTTGATGCTGGCACGCCTGTGGATCCATATATGAGCCCACGGCGGGGCAACGCAAAGCGATTCCCCTTATGAAGGCCGCTTTGCGCAGGCATGTTTCAATACAACATTTGTTGGGCTAGTGGCTTTCGCATGGGGAAACCTGACCATGGCTGGCCGTTGCAAGCCCCAGTTCTGTGGCTCCCTTTTTCCCTTGGTTTGGTGGCTTCCCCACTAAAAAGGGGTCAATTCAAAAAGGCAGTTGCCTTTTTTTCTTCCAGGGTCACTGCCAACATCTGCCAACTGTGGGAAGTAGTATCATTGGAGCAGCGGCAACGTCAGCAGATTGCACCAGGAGAGTAGGTGTTTTCTGCGTCTCTTTTGACGGGAAGCTGTTCGATGGCCGTGCTTGTTTGTGTGAGTGTTTTTTGAGGGTCCCCTTTTTGGATGGCTTTACTGGGGCACCAAAAGCAAACCATCCCTGTGTTGAAACAAACCCATGAGGTACCAGTTGCGCGCTTGTCTCTGGATTCGTTTGTTTTTGTTTTTGTCCACAAGTCCTTGCAAGTCTTCACGGTTCTGGCAAGTCACCGACATGGCCCCCGATTCCTAGCAACTCAGGGGGAGCGCATTCGACGCTGAGGCACTACCACAAGAACTTTGTGGAGCGCGACATGGTGTCGCTGCTGCTTCGCATGTCGGCGACCCCAGTCCAGGGGGTAGCGGGCGTCCTCTTAGAAGGGGGGGCTTATATATGAAGCACGCCCTTGGCACTCACTCCGCATGACCTGGAGGGCTGGCCTTTGTTTATAGGATTAAGTCAAAGCAAGACAGCTTGCCAGTTGTCCTGATGCTGACAATCAAGTCGAACATCTTGACCTGCTTGTGATTGCAGCACCAGGCGCTTCAGAGCTCTCACGCCTCAGTCTCGTGACTTGATGGCAGCCACCAGGACACCTGGCGACGGCCACGCTGCCCTTCACAACCATGGAAGTAACCATACGGCCATACGGCAAGTGGACTTTCATATACGCAGAGAGGGTAGCCTGGCAAGGCTCATGCAGAGCCGTTGAATCTGTGGCCCAATGGGCTATGATTATGCTTTGCCGATGGGCACACCATGCTTCTGGCGTGCGTGTGCTCTTTTGTTGTTTGGGACTTTCCGCTCATGGCCTGCCCCATTTGTTTTCTATTTTAGCCGTGTTTGGCCCCTTTTGCTTGTGAGCGAAAATGCCAGCTGTCTCCGAAATGGTTCCGTTATTCCCCCAGACACCTCCTTGAGAATCACGATGCCTTCATGCCTCCATGTGGTTCAGATGTGTTTATGTGACATAGCTTGACGTGCCTCTTAAGACAACACAATCAAACTAACACAACAAACGACATTCCCAAATCACAACCATAGTAGCTGCAGCAGGACTTCTGGTGTTAGTTGTAACTACATGAGTTAAGCACAATGCTCAAGTACGCAAAAATGATAAGGGTTTACCGTTACACATCTTGCACTTATCAGCATCGGAATAAGCGACACCATGTCCATGTTAAACAACAGGTGATGAGCAACCTCTGAACCGAGTTGTGGTGTTCTTTCCAGGCTCTAGCTGCCTTCAAAATGCAAAGAACGTCTATAGCATATAATGTGCATGGATAGCCAAGCGTCGTTTGCCTTCGTGGCCTCAACACCCGTGCTGCGCCATCGGGCCATCGGGCCATCGGGCCATCGGGCCATCGGGCCATCGGGCCATCGGGCCATCGGGCCATCGCAGGGCGAAGGAAGCATCGCACCCCAACGTGGTGCAGCTCCTCGACTCCTTGATGAGCGATGAGCCGCTGAGCTGAACGCATGGCTTCGCCCGAGAAACCCGGGTTGTTCCTTTTTCCTTGGTACTTGTGTGAGGTCTTTAAAGGGTCTTCAGGGTTTTTGGAACCTTTGCCAGTGATGCTAAGGTGCTTTAGTACGATAATTTGGCTGAAGATTGCTGGCACCTGCTCCAAGAAAGGAGTACCACCCATTTAACTATTTTGATGAACCACTTGGGGGATGTGCATCGGTTGCGAAAAGGCCCCAAGTAGGAATCAAGCTATTTTGCTTGGGGAACCCTCGGCTCGAGGCATTTCTTCGTGGTGATGGAGCTCCTGGAAGGCCCGCTGATGGTTTTTCAGGATAATGGTCCTCCGGGGCTTGCCAGGGTACGTGCTAGTAGGGGCAGGAGGGAATGAGATCTGCGGAAGTTAAAATGGAAAAGACGAGCTCAAGCCACATGAAGGTCGCTTGCCTGAAGAGTCCAGACTTCCTACTCGAAATTCCTGCGGAAATCTTTTCAGGCTGGAAAGGAATGACCCACATATAAAGTCTTAGAACCAAGTTTTTTTTTTATTGTGATAGCATGCTTGAAGGCCCCTCCTTTCTATCCTTGGAGTGGGAGAGAGCTCCGCATCGCCGCGAAAAGCTCCCTGTTGCAGCAACTGCTTAGTCTTTTTAGAGGGTTCATCGCCCTCTGACAGTAAAGGAGCAAGCAATGCACAGGCGCTTCACCTCGCGCCTGGGTGCTAAACTAATCCGCTATGCAGTGAGCTCCTCAGAAATCACAAGTCAAGGGGACGTGCAGTCGAATTGTCCACATACCCTCCCAACCCCGAAAAGCAATTAAGCAGTTTCCTTACCCTTGAAACAGAAGACTCCTAAGTCCAACTCTGCCTATGCAGCACTCTGTTCCTCCGGCTGTTGCAGGCCCAGACCTGTTTGAGCACCTCAGCAGCTGCAACACTGGCGCGTTGTGCCTTGGCCAAGGGGAGTCGGTGAAGGTTCGAGATGGCCTCGAATCAGCGCCCTACCGGAGGCTTGCCTGTGAGCATGCTCCCAGTTTAACCGCTTGCAACTTTCTTGTGGCAGTGTGAAACAAAACATGAAGTGTTGGTGCGGTCTATGGGTTGAACAGGTCCCCCTGTTCGCCCTGTGTGTGCTGCTTGGTTTCCGATGTCCTCGAGCGAAGCGGGCTCTGGCCCTGCAAGTCATCGAGCAACCGGCTGAAAGGACAGAAGAGCACGCCCGCTTTATCATCCAGAACTCGCTGTCGGACGCTTGGCCGCCTCCAGCGGGCGGGCTGCGACGAACGTCCAAGCTGCTGAAGAGACACGGGTGTGCCATACGTTCAATGTTACAATGCATGGATGTTCCCCAGCAGGTTTCCTGTGAACACAACTGCGCCAGATGCCAACTAGTCAAGTGCAGAACAGGCAAGGCATGCAATTGGTGTTTGTTTTTTTTTGTGCGAGGTCTGCTTTTTGGCTGCTCCACCAATCCATACCTGACCGTTGGAGGCGCATCGCCACAAGAGCGGTCACCAACATGCAGTGCAAGGCCGTGTGTTGGCAACTTATGACCATCCATCATTGATGTGCGGCAGCCTGTCATTTGAGCACACCCACCACATTCCATTTGCCACGGGGTCCTTTGCATTTTCCTTCTTGGGTGGCTGAGTTCCTTTCTGGTGGCGGTATGTTGAAACGGAACCCTGTTGGCGTTGCCCCTTTTTTGATTTAGTCCATAGGTCACCTGTAGCGCAACCAAGTTCGTCATTGACTTCCCCTGCTTTCCTTTACTTGCTGGTCCCCCAGAAGATTGAATTCCAAGTCTTTTGCTGCCTCACTGACAACCCCTAGCCGACAGAGCCACAGAGGGCACCCAAGTCTGGAGAGGGAGCATCAAGACAGCCAAGACAAGTCTCTTAATATGACTTTCCTTCTGGATGTTTTTTTTGTGTAAACACCAAATTTGGGGCTACTGCTTGTGGCGAGCAGATTGGACGCACCAGCAAATTGCAAGACATGCTTTGGATCGACAAGTTCCTGCACCAGCACTGATGATACATAACAGAGTTCAAAGGGCGTCACCGATCCCAACTGGTCCAAAGAGGGTTTTGTCCACCAATCACTTCAGCAACCGTAGCGCTGGGCGACAAGCCGAGGCTTTGGCCCACATCCATGCAGTGTGCGGAGTGGGCATCATCCATCGGGATGTGAAGCCTGCAGCTTGTCCAGGTGGAGGGGTCCTTGCACCAACTGTTTGAGGTCCTGGATGTTGATATATGTATACTGTACACATATGTGTGTATTGTTCTCTCTTTGAGAAGATAATTTCTGGTGTCTCCTCCAAATAAGCATGAAGCAGAAGAAACAACACATCTATGTTCTGTGTACCCTAGATGTGGGCCACTATTTTAGTGGCAAGCAAGAGTTTTAATTGTGTGGCAACCCACTCAAGTAGCGACCTTGTATATGTACATATGTGTATTTGTTACCCGGTTTGGGTGATCTGCCACCGTTTGATACCTGTTGGTGGCCATTTGAGAAAGAGCTCCTTTTGGTGGGGTGGTGTTCTGAGATGTAAGCATCGCTTTTGAGAAATTGTTTTGGGCATGAGTTCCTTTTGATTTTGGTGGGGTAATGCTAAACAAAGGCAGGAGAAACCACGACTCGCAGAATGCTCACGGATGAGGACAACTAGATTGGCTCTGAGAGAAAATGCACTTTGCCATGCTTTTAGGGTTTGGAGTGCGGGTTCTTGGCCTGATTTTAATGGACAAGATGGGTGGGCGATTTTCCTGCCGGCAGAGAATCTTCTATAGATAGCACCAGGAGAACCGCAAACCTCAATGGCATGTAACATGTTCAGGTGTTTGTGCTTTACCCGCGCCAAAAAATCCACCCACACACCCAGAGCTTTGAGGTCAGGTGTTATACGGATTTGTGTTTTGTCGAAGTGCTCAAGGAAACACATGGTTTGGCCAACAAAAATGGTGGACAGTGAATTCCCATGTTGCGCTCCATGTGCGCGGTGCAGAGCACAGCAGCACGCCACCCAAGTGTTGCTTTGCTCACATTTTTATACACTGGGTGTCGCATGCCCCAATAGTCTCAATTTTTTGCCCGAAAGAAGCCAACATAAATGGTTTCTTTCTTTTTCGAGACCTCCAATTTAAACCCACATATTAAATTAAAGACATGCTTGCTCGGGCTTCGAAAGCCCCGAATGCCCAAGGAGAATTTGAGATTCCGCAGCAAGGATCCGGATTCCGAGCCTTGGCTGAAACGGATTGCCAGCTTGAGCTACATCTTTGCCCGAGTGCTCTACCATGGTGGGTGGCTCACGTGTCAGGCGGTGTTTGTCTTTCAAGCCTTTGGAGTTGTTTTTTTGTTTTTGTTTTTGTTTTTTGTTTCACTGAAGGACGCCAATGCCACAAATCTTGTGATGGCAACTTGGTCGCGCTCAGGAGCTTGTACTGGTGGATTTCGGGCTGTGCTGCCCTGCCTCAGAGATGGAGAAACGGACCATCGCCTGGAGCCCAGAAGATCTGGCCTGCCTCCTTTTTGCCCTGTATTGGACTGGAGCAACCACTGGGGGTGGCTAGATTTAGGATTTCGGGGCCCACTTCTCAGCCTAGCCTATGATGGTTCTGCGTTCTGTGTGCTTGTGCCTTTCTCGCGCACAACCGCTGACGGCGCAGGTCAAATGCATGCCATGCCATGCGCCGTTTGAGCTGCGCAGCAGCTCATTGGTTTGGAGTTCTCCCGCTCGCTCGGAATACAGCACCCCAAAAACAGGCATAGTAGAATCTGAAGGGAGCTTTGGAAGACCATGTTCCTCCAACAAGGGGCCCTCTTTCAGATTTCACTTTGGTAGGGAAAAAAAACAACTCCAAAGACGCTGCTGTTGCCAGCGAAGCGGACGAAGCCGAGGTGGGGACCTTGCTGTATGTGGCCCCGGAGGTGTTCTCGAGAAGGTATGATGCCAAGGTGCGCATCGAGTGATTCTTACAAGGTCTCGGGTTGAATTGGACCAGAGGCTTCGGGAAAGCATCTTCCAAAACCTTGGGAAAGTAAACATCAGTGTCTCAAAAGGTGCCTCTCTTGTCAGGCAACCCCAGCAGGGTCAAGTTCTGCTCGTAGAAGGGCAACTTACGGCGTATCCACCGTACCTGTGCTTGGTACAGGATGGTACAGGTGGCAATGCTTATGGCCGTCTTGTTGAAGTGTGACATTCCATGTTATATGTTATATAGTTATAGTTATATAAGTTATATGTGCTTGCGTGCCGGACAACTTCTGCTTGTTCCGGCGAAATCCTGGAAAGGGCAGTGGGCTGTCCAGATGCTCATTTTTTTTCCTTCCCTACAGGCCGTAATTGGGCACCTTGCCCCTATGGAACAGTTTTAAGAATCGGGTGCAGTTTGCCTTTCGCAGCTAGGTGCCTATTTCACTGGTGAATGTGTTGTTTTGCCCAGTGTTCTTTTCTTCTTCTTTTTTTTGGGGGGGGGTCCCAGGTTGCAGTTTGTTATGGGTGCTTTGAAGCGAAACCACCTCTTGTGGAGAACAAGCTTTGTTGTTGAAGTGTCAACCCTGCTTATACAAGGGTCTTTAGATTCCTTTGTTGGGTGGCTTGCAATATGGGGGGGGCGTGAGCTCAAATTGGGCCCCCCATCCCAGGTGGTATCTCTAGGTTCCTTTCAAAGAGACACTTTCAGGGCCCTTTGCGTCAAAGGCATCCAAGTTTTCTTGCTTTTGAGAGCGGCTACGAAGGCGGATCTGTGGTCACTGGGTGTTGTGCTCTACATTCTCCTCACTGGCCGGCCTCCTTGGAAACAGATGCTCGGCAAAATGGGGCGGGGGAGTTCCTTTCAGAAAGGTCAGGTTAGGTGAAATTGGCACTGGATTGACTTTGGCTAGAGTCATTTGCCAGCGCCATGTTTCTTTCCAAAAGTAAAGCAATAGTTCCAAGCGGCTGAGCCGGGTTCAGTCATATCATCCATCAGCTGAATCCTGTTAGCGCCTCTAGGACGCAGAGGGCGGTGTCGACCGTGGGTTTGGATGCAAGGCAAACATCAGCATTGCCAGCATTTCAGCAAGTGCCAATTCTTTTTCGGCAAGTTTGGATCTGAGCCTGGGCTAGAGAACAGGGTCTGTGGCCAGTTGTTTACCCAATTCGAAATACATGCGTGCACATCTCCGGGCAGTGACTCTTGTGACAAGTCGAGAAAGCTCGAAGTTGTGGTCGAAAAAGGAGTGCTTCGTTCGGGCGAACGCTGGTTTTCCATAAGCGCAAGCAACACGTGCATATGCTGGAACAGTGTGAAGCATTTTTTTCAGGGACACTGCCGTTGGCAAGCACGGCATCGTTGCTGTTGTTTGGGCCGTGGGCCTGGTTACTACCCCCCCCCCCCGGACCCCCCGGCCCGGTCCTCCAAAAAGTCAAGCACCCAAACAACAGACATCGAACCTGGATGCGGCCCCATGGAAGGCCCCGGTCCCTTGAAAGGCGTTTTTTCAGGACCATTCCAATTGCTCTTCAAAGGTGCTCTACAGAAGGATTGATCGTTGTGCGGTTGGATGGGCCAGCGACAGCCGGAGGGCATTCATGGCCCACAAAGACCAACAGCAGCCAAAGAGGTGGCGGTTGCAGAGGGTCTCCCAAAGAAATGGGTGCCGAACACGTGCACTTTTCTCAAGCCACAACTTTACCCTCAGGCGCGCAGAGTTGTTGGTTGGAGGGGCGAGGGAGGGGTTCGCAAGGGCCCAGAGTGGCAGTGAAAGCGCACCATCCCTCTGCCAGGAATGTTAACGTGGGCTTCGTGCCCAGCAAGAAGGTTTTAAACGGCAGCTTGGCCTTTGCCGCCCTGGGTGGCAATACAGGGCGACGGGGCCTTTGGCCGGTGGGAGGGACGATTTAGGCCGTTTGGCTGGCCTGCCTTGGAGTGGGTCTTGAAGCTTTGCCAACTTGCGGGATGGCTATGTATGTTGTGTTTGCCCCCATTTGATGGGAGCAGTTGAAGAGATCACGCGCAAGACGTATACGTGTCACCCGCAATCTTCTTTCTTGCTTGCTTGCTTGCTTGCTTGCTTGCTTGCTTGCTTGCTTGCTTGCTTGCTTGCTTGCTTGCTTGTTTGGCTGGCTGGCTGGCTGGCTTGCTTGCTTGCTTGCTTGCTTGCTTGCTTGCTTGCTTGCTTGCTTGCTTGCTTGCTTGCTTGCTTGCTTGCTGCTTTCTAGGCTGAACGGTTTGGCACAGTTGTAAGGTGTTGGGCTTGGGGGCTTAGGTTCAGGGTTGAGGCGTAGAGATTCTACGCGTCGGATTTGGGTTTATAGGGGACGGAGTTCATGGGGGCTAGTTGAGGGTTCATGTATAGAGTTTCCGAGACTTGGTTTAGATGTTATATCTGCAGTTTAGGATTTAATCTTGTTTTGGGTCTTGGGCCCTCGCCATCCCTGCTGTCCCGACATGTTCGGACATGTCGGGACACGCCTGATGTGGAGTCAGGAGTCTCGCACACCCGACATGTCATTCGAGGTGAAGCCGCGCAGCTTGCTTTGGGTGCCAAGGACCTAACATGGGTCAGTCACAGAGCCCGAGTGACACGTTCTTTCTAGGTATATGGCTGGTTGTTCAGCAGTTTCGGGGGACTGGAGATGCGTTTCGGGTGCATTTTCACTAGGTACTCCTGTTGGCTCGAGATTGGCCATCTGAAGATGTCATGTTTGGTTGGCAAAAGCTGCGAAAGGTTTGCCCTCACCTAGGTGCAGCCAGTGGGTTCCATCGCTTCTTCCACACGCAGTTCATTTTTTGTGAAGGGTTCTCCCAGCAAAGAAGCGATTCCATGGGGGCCCCGTCGGGAGCATTCCTTATGATTTCAATGACTGCCCAGTGCAGTCTTGGAGCGATTCGCCCAAACGCTAGCCGATTGTTTGTCGCAACCTTTTTTCTCAGCTTGCTTGTTCCGAAATTGCGCAAGCCCAGAGAACCTTGGTTGTTTCTCAACGGAACGGCGGGTGAAACACATGGGGGATTGCAAGCATCCACCAACCGGAAACAAGCTCGACTTTCCGGAAAAGAACCTCATGCACATTTTTTCCCACAACCTGGCGGCTCCTGTGAGCTCATGTGCTTGGCCTGCTGCTTTCTCCGGTAGTAGTATGGTACCCTTGCCTTGAATGAAGGCTATACCGGACTTGCGACTTTGGGTGGCTCCAAGGCGAGTAGTCGAAAAGGTGCCTAGTTTCCTTGCTTCCCTTTTGCTTCCTTAGACTTTCCACGTTTTTGTGTCCCTTTCCCAAAAAACGCGTGGGGGACACGTTTTGCCGGACACGTCCCGGCCGAAAACAAGTCGCGCCTGGCTAGGAGCTGGAGGAGACACCCCTGGCGCGGGAGCTGCTGGAAGGCCTTGTTCTCGGGTCCCACGACTGATGTCCGTTTCCCATGTTGTAGATCCTATGTTTTTTTTCTTATCGCTATCATTTTTAGTACCATCGTTATTTTATATGATTGTCAATCAAATATGAAGTAATACAAATACAATCTTAAGCGCAACTTGAGGATAGGTTTCGCGCGCACATGTAGGGCTGCCTGCTTGTTTTACGCCGGACCGGCTCGGCCGCGAGCTCGCGCGCCTGAGGCCTCCTGGTTGTGGACCCCGACCTTCGCCTCGGCGCCAAGGAGGCGTTGAGATGCCGGGGCCCCATGGAGGGAACGAGCCGGATGCCCCGTTCACGTCTTCCCGCTTGGAAAAATGGGGGGGGGGGGGGGAGCGAGCTCCCGGACTTTGGGGGGTTCAACGCGGGAAAACCCAAGGGCCCAAGTACTTGGCGATTCCAAGTTTCCGGTTTAGGGGTTAGAGTAAATTGCCCAGATTGTCTTGGGGGCTTGTGAAGAAGTTGGTATTGGGATCATCGCTTCTGAGCCCACAAGGGGTGATTCAGATTCACGGACACCAGCAAACTGTCATTCGAATATTTGCAGTTGGCTGTGGCGCTCACTCGGATGTTTTGTTCCACTATGTTTAGTAGGATTTCTGCCGAGGGGTGGTATTAATTCCGACGCCAGGAATGATTCTGCCTTTGGGAAAACATCAGATGGCTTGTGGATTCCCATATCTTGGGAGTAAGTATCCCAAAATAAATCAAGAAACTGCAGAAATTCACAAGAAACCTGCCTAAAGACAGTTGCCTAAGCTGGCTGTTTGACCTTTTGGTGTTCCAGTGCTGGTGCATTCTGAGTTATGGACCCAACGGATGAGACATCGGCCGTGTGCCCGCTCAGGTCGATGGCTTGGCGTTCCTGGGTTGCAAATGCACACGGAAAGGGGAGGGCTTCCCTTTACCCCTCAGACATACCCTACTTAAGGTTCCTACTTAAGGTTCCTTTGCCCTTTCAAAGCTGCGAGATGCTGACTCCGGAGCCGGTCAAAACGAGTTGGGGCCATCCAGGTGGATGTAGTTAATTACAAGGTGGCTGCCACGTGCTACCAGAAAAAGATCCGGTTGCTCTTGATTGGCTAGGATTGTTGCAGCATGTGTTGGGGTATGTAGGAAGCCCCCCCCTGACCAACTCAAATCATCAAGCAGCTTGTGGACGCACATGCAAACTGTGATCAAGGGGGTGCAACCCGTTTCGACGCATTTTTTTACTCTGTGACGCCCGTGCTTCAGCGAAGGCACGTCTTCTGTTCATACTGCCATTGACCCATTTGAGCCCCCAACTCATATTCCTTCCCAGTTCTTTTGGAACAGTTTGCTGTCAAGACCGGACCGCATACGGTACTCACGAAATAATTTACGCAGGTGCCGAGCATTTTAGGCATTTGGGGGGGGGGCGGCCACAAATCCAAACTTCGACGAGAAAAGCTTCAGCTTGGGCATTGTGGCAGCTGTTGTCGGCAGACCGTTCGAGACGGGGGGATCCGGTGAGATTCCATTCATGGACGGTGCATATGTGACAGCTGGTCAAGCATGTTGATGCCAGATGTCAAGGTTTCCATGTGGGTCGCTCATGTTCCAAGAGTTCTTTGAGAACTGCAAACTCTTGGGGATGGGCATCTGCAAAATTCCTTGCCAGACGAAAGCTTTCTGTCTCGCCCTGTCAGGTTTCCTTCATTTCCACTTGTCACTCGACTGTTGGATGAATTGCAGGGCTTCAACAGTTTCCTTTCCACTTTCAGTTTCAACAGTTTCCTTCAGGGCAATTCATTTCCAGCTCTCCCTGGGCCATTTCCACTTTTCAACAGTTTCCTTCATTTCCACTTGGGCCCATTGGATTCGCGCTTGGTCGCCTCCCAACGGGTCCAGCCCGGTCCCCGGCCAAGACAAGCCCAGCCATCGAAGCTGAAGCTTCTCCGAAGCCGGGGCCTCAGCTCGTCGCTGGGTGACCCATGGGGAAGCCCACAGCATGGCGTCCAACTTCCCCTTTCGGCTTGTTGAGCGGACAACATCGAAAAAAGACGAGTCCCCTCGATAAAAGAATAAAACACACATATAACATGCCAGCCCTGTTAGAGTGTTCCAGCTTTTTGGTAAGGGTTGGTTTAGTTTGGGGAGGTTCCGTTTCAGGACTCCAGGGCCCTGATGTATTCAGTGAATTTTATGGGTGAGACGTTTGAGGCAATGTCGAACCTGGAATACCCTCCCTGGTTTTGATCAGGGCCGCTTTTCTTGCTCTTCATGTGTGCGGCTGTTGCTGAATGTGATGTCACTTCAAGCCGGGGCATGTTTGGCGGTGAGCTGCATTCTAAGAACGCACTTGGGACAGGGGCCAAGAACGCTCTTGGGATATCAGGGGCTGGCAAAGAAGAGCGAGTCGTCCATTCTGTAAAGAAAGCAGAGGTTGAAGTTGCCTGACTCTGACTTTTGCTCATGATGCTTCATGGCCAACGCGATGAAATGACCGTCCTGGTTCAGTACACCTGGTTTCGGGCTGTGGGTTCGGGGAGGGCAGTGGCTCAGCGGGATGAACCGAGCCGCCTTTTGCGTCAGGCTGCTCTCGGCCAACAGCATGTCCTTCAGCACGGCCTCAAAGTACAGCCACAAGACGCCGAAGAGGGTGCGGACGGCACGGGAGCTGTCGAAGCATGCATGCCCGTATGTGTGCTTTTGTGCATGTTGTGCCATGTTGTGCCATGTTGTGTGTCACGGTACGTCATTTTGTCTCCTGTCGTGTGTGTGTGTGCTTGCTGCGTGCTTGCTTGCTTGCTCGCTTGTTTGCTTGCTTGCTCGCTTGTTTGCTTGCTTGCTCGCTTGTTTGCTTGCTCGCTTGATTGCTTGCTTGCTCGCTTGTTTGCTTGCTCGCTTGTTTGCTTGCTTGCTGGCTTACTTGTTTGGTTGTGTTAATGTGCTTGTTTGTTTGTTTGTTTGTTTGTTTGTTAGTTTGTTTGTTTGTTTGTTTCTTTGTTTGTTTGCTTCTTTGTTTGTTTGTTTGTTTGTTTGTTGGTTGGTTGGTTGGTTGGTTGGTTGGTGTGTGGTCATGTTTTTGTTTGCTTGCGTGACTTGCATCTTGTGTTTGTTTGGCTGGTTGTGTGCACTTGTGTGTTTGATGATTCCAGCACCTTGCCCTGCAAGCAAGGCAAGCAAACGAACCAACAGAGAAACAAGCAAACAAACACACGGACGAACAACACAAATCAAGAAAGCAAGCAAACAAACAATCACACAACCAACCACCCCATCAACCAATCCAATCAGCAAAGAGAGAAGGAGATAAACACAGACAGGCAGGCAGGCAGGCAGGCAGGCAGACAGACAGACAGACAGACAGGGAGACAGGCAAACAGAGAGACAGAGAGACAGAGAGACAGAGAGACAGACATACAGACATACAGACATACAGACATACAGACAGACAGACAGACAGACAGACAGGGAGACAGACAGGGAGACAGAGAGACAGAGAGACAGAGAGACAGAGAAACAGAGAGACAGACAGACAGACAGACAGGCAGAGACAGACAGAGACAGACAGAGACAGACAGAGACAGACAGAGACAGACAGAGACAGACAGAGACAGACAGAGACAGACAGAGACAGACAGAGACAGACAGAGACAGACAGAGACAGACAGAGACAGACAGAGACAGACAGAGACAGACAGACAGACAGACAGAGACAGACAGAGACAGACAGAGACAGACAGAGACAGACAGAGACAGACATACAGACAGACAGACAGACAGCCAGAGACAGACAAAAGGACCCGCGGAAATGACTAACAAATGAAAGAACCAAGCACTCACACGGCGTGCAGATCGGTCTCGTTTGGATCAGGCCCCTGGGACCAGTCCAACAAGGGAAGCCATTTTCACCTGGGGACTTGGGAGAGTTCAACTGCTTTCCAGTTGCCAGGTCACCTACGCCGACCAGGCCGAGGAGGACGCTGGGGGAGGGGGGGCTATTTCAGGAATCAGCTGCTCGCTCAATTGCCACAAAAGCGCCTCCACGGCATGTTGTTTCCTGTTCTTGGCAGAGATTGTGTTTGGTGCGTCGTCCGTTTGATCGGCGAAGGTTTTGGGCTGGAGATGAGAGATGATTGCAGAGTCTTCGATCTTGGCCTGTGCTTCGGGACTCGCTTGCACATTACTCTTGCCTCTTCTCTTGATTGTCCCGTGAACCAGTTGAAGTCGTCATGTGCCCATCATTGCAGGGATCGGCCGCAAGATCATCAGAGCATAGAATGAACTTGCGGCTGCATGCATCCTGGACCGCAACTCTCGAATGCGGATTGACTGTCCAGGCAGGCATTCTTTCCTTGGTTCAGAGTTTCAATTTAAAATGACTCAATTTGCACACTCTCCCTTCTGTTTGCTATCCGATCTTCAAAGCCAAACATCAAACATGGGGTAGTGGGCATTTGGGCTCTTTCGGTTCTTCCCAGTCCTTTGCCTGAGGCCGTTGCCAACTTCCGGCCCTAGCAATGAGCATGAAATTGGGGGCCCATTATGGGGCACTTTTAAAGGGCACTCGCAACTGAAGCTTGTCCAGTGCTTCCGGCAGGATGATAATGACAACCGCGGAGAACATGAACTGGAGCCTTCCGACGCTTGTCTGAAAGCAAGCGGGTTCATATGATGGCCATTGCTCGTGAGAATTGCAGCTGGACGACTTGTTTCACTTGGGTTCCTCTTGAAATTAACCATCCCCCAAAAGCGTCGCCAGTTTTGTCGCATGTCTATGTGTGCTTTGGCTCAAGTGGCGCTTTGTTCTTCTTCAAGTAGAAGCTTGGCACCACGTCCGTGGCTGAGGCGAGTGGGGAAGGGACAACCCGCGGTGGGACGGAATCCTCGCAGGGGGGAAGTTGGGCACGCATGGGCAAGCCATGTCGAAAGGATCTGAAGCTCTACAGCTTGCATCAGAAGGGCTCCAATCCATGGGAGCTGCGCATGCTGTCCCTTGGGTGAACGTTTCGGTTCAGAGGGGCCTAGCTGAGTAGAGTGAGGCAGCTATGATGGCACCTGCAGGAGTCCTCGTATGCTTCTGTGAGCCGAGTCAACAGTTCTTCCCGTTGACCGTATTTGCTTTGTCGTATTGGCTTGGTGCCTGTTTGGTCGTGATTCTTATTGCTCCAGCAATGCTTTAGTCTTCGGTATTGTTCTATAGGTGCTTCCTACTATTCTTCCAGAGGCTTCCTTATACTACATCGGCATTTGTCTGGATAGATGGTTTTTATATAGGCTACTATGGATTGGCCTGTTTAGGGCCTCAGTCAGTGTAGGTGGCTTAACGGTGGCTTAACGTTGGTTTAGAACCGGTTTCCAAAGCTTATTCGAGACATGGAAAGTGAAAGACCCCTAGGCGGACATGGGCTAATTTTTCCCACCTACTGCCTTTGAAGGAGCATCCCTGCCTTAGCGCGATCCCAATTTTGACTCGACCCTGTCGGGCAACATCTGCCCTGCGCGGACCAGGTGGTGCCCACCCCCTTCCCCAAGGCAGGAGCTTCACGCGATTGTTCCAGATATGCCTTGTGCCCACGGTTGTTTGTGTCCTGTGTCCGGTTTGTTCAGATGTCTCATGCCCACGAACAGGGAACATCTGATGGCCTGCTTGACAGCCAAAGGTTTTGGAAATCGGCCTTTGTTTGTGTGTTATCATTCTGAACTGCTCGGAGGCGTGAAGCACGGCGTGCACGGTAGTCAATGGGGCCTGGCAAATGTTCACAACAGTTTTGCAACACACCAAACACACCATCTACAATCATGAACCACGCATTGCCCGGCTTGACACACTTGAGGGACGCAGGACAAACTACCTTGCTGGAAAAATGCACTTAAAAGGCTTCCACAACCGGACCCAGCCAGCCCCAAGCCGACAATCTCTGCTTTGACCCAAAGCTACTAGTCATTCCCCCTCCCCCTCCCAACCAAGAGCATGCAAAAAAGACATCATGTGTCCATGAGCCAACGAGCAGATGCGAAGCGCAACTCTCCGAGCGCAGTTTTGATCGGCGCCATGTGGCGCCTCTCCCGGGCTTGGCCTTGCGCTGCGCGCAGCGGCCGCCGGAGGTTTGCGCAGATCGCAGGGTCGGAGACCACCTCCAGCCTGCTCCAGACGCCTCGGCCGCGAAAGAAGGCGTGTTAAGTTGTGAGTTGTTGCATTTGCTCGTTTTCCGAGCATTGGTGTGTGTTGTTGTGTTCAGTCTGTGGTACGGTGGTGCTTATTTGTTTTGTATGGGTTGTTTGGTTTTCAGCCCCCACCCCCTCAATGTAGGGAAAACAAGATAAGTGGAACTGGGGGCACACCCACTCCTAGGTTGCACCCCTGGCATATTCTACAGCATAGGAAGCCACCCCAACGATTCAACATGGCCATGGGATGCCTTGGCAAATTTTGGAGATATGTCCCAAAGACATACCTCTCGGCTCTCGGGCATCCCACTCCCATCAGCTGATGTTGAGTCAGCCAGAAGCACTAGTACGCCTGGGGGGGTTTCAAGGTCAGGACCGCCTCAGGCAGAAACAGATCTGACAAAGACTGGCACCGTGTTCCAACTCTAAGTTGGCGATCATCTGAGGAAAATCCAGGGAGAGGCGGAGTCGGGCACGGTGCTGTCCTCTTCTGGCGGCTTGCTGCGGGTGTCCATGGGTGGAGACTTTGTCAGACTTAGCCGGCCTTTTGTTGTCCTTTTCCCACATAGATCTTCATCGTTCCCTCACGAAACGTCTTGTGACAATCCATTTGTGGTTTACACCTTCCTGTTGGGTGGGGAGGTTGTTTGCACTTGATCTCCTGTAAGTTCATTGCCGCCCGGCCGGCAAAAGGTCCTTGCTTTGCGGCATACGTTGGCCAAGGAGATGTCTTTGTTGGCCAGGGACTCCAAGTGGGCGAGGCATCGACGCCCGCAGTGGTGCTTCGATTCGACCCTCAGCCGCAACTGGCAACGATTTGGAGGATCGTGGGTCACGTGGTTTGGGTTGTGAACTCGTTTGCCTCAAGCCAAGTGTTGGGACCTTTTGGCTATCTCATGCTGGCACTTTTTGTGAGGTCGAGGTACCAGAAGGGCAACATTTTATTCTTTTTAACCCCATATTACCAACCAAGTGTCAGGAAAGCCCATTCACTGGTGGGAAAGGACATTTGTGCAGCCACTCAGTCGTCATAGACGGGAATTGGCAAATGCTGCCCAAAGGCATTGAGCAAGTTAGTTATTTGTGCCGAAGCGTCGCTAGGGAAATGCAGGAATTCCGCGGATATGGTGGAAGCGCTTTGGCAGGTGGTTACTGTGTGCTCCTCAATCAAAGCTATCAAACTGGTTTGTGGTGTCGGCCATTTTTTTTGGGCTCCCTGCGTTTGTGCAGTCGGTTGTGCCGCCTTGGCGCTCCCCTTCAGCATCAGCACACGACAAGGATCTTCGCGTAGGCATCTGCAGCTTGAGGCCAAGAATGGAGTTCCACACCCAGCGGTAGCGCATCGCCCGATGTCCAAGTGCCAGGCTTTTGACAAACCTTTCACAAGACGAGGCTTTGGTTCTATTTCCGGATACTCTTTGGTATCACCCTATTCCCTCTGCACAAATGCAAATGGAACCTCAACACCCACAAAAGGAGATTCCTTGTAATTATCCCGGTTTCTCAGCGGCAATTGGACATGTTCAACCACAAAGATTTGTCCTCATTTCTCCCTTGTTCGGGTCACTTTTGCCAGTTGGGATTGGGCTCGCTCCAGTCCACGTGTTCGGGTGAGCAATTCGGGGTTGCGCCGTACGGCCACAGGACAAGACCGGCATCGTGGCAGCCTCGCTGGGCGGCTCCGTGTCCTCCGGGGCGGCCATCAGCCCAGGGAACATGCTATCGCTGAAGTCGAAAGAGTGGCCGCCAGGCGGGCGCCTCCAAATGTTGCTACTGTGAGTGGACGAAATCAATGCCACAGTGTGTGAATGGGACCGCAAAGTGGGGAACACTTTGGTTTCTCAGGATCTTGGCGCCAAACAGGGTGGCCTCAAGGAAACACCTCGAGCTTGGGATGGGGCAAGAAACAACCAGACCCTGTGGCCGGAGGTTGTTTCCAAAATTTGGGGTTTTTGACATATTACAGGCGCGGGATCCCATCCCCAAGCTTGAAAGCCCAAAGCGGTTTTCGGGACTTGGACCCCCATGTTTGACTTGGAAACGGTCCCGCAGCTTTGCGCATTCCGCTTTGCTGGGCCTTTGGAGCCCAGATCAAATCCAACCAGGGCCTGTTTGGCCTGGCAGTGCCGGCCGTGGCGTTAGACTTTTCGAAACATTGTCCTTTCCCACCAGCCAACAAGCCCAAAAACTGGCGGGAGGGGGTCAAAGAGCAGCCGGTTGGAGGTTTCTGTCCAATCACTCTCCTCACCTTTTCAGAAAGTCACATCCCCCGCAAGATTGACCCTGGGGATGCAAAAAGGGAAGCCACAATCGGCATTTTGATAGAAGGTTGAAACATCTACAACAGAATCTCTACGCATGCGTATTTGGCCGTTTGTCTGGTCAAACGGAAGGACTGGAAGGATGCTGGCAGAATGGTTTGACATATTTTGTGGTTTCGTGTTTGCCTGTTCAAACGCGTCGGATTCAGGGCCGCGTTCGCTTCCGGGGCTGCCAGCGTGAGCTCATGTTTGCAGCTAACGTGGACAAGTGTGGGTGGATTGTGGGAGACATCTTATGCCAGTGGTGTTGTGAGAGCACGTATTTCGCTCAATGACGATTAACATACATCGAAGTATCACATTGCTGATGTGGCTGCACGTTCAATGGTATGCGTCACGCCGAGACATGCGGGTTCCATAAATCAAGCTTTGCCCAATGCATTTCCCGTCACTTTTTGAACCGTCAATTGAGGTAGTTTGGATTGGTGGCTTCGGGATTTAAACCCTTCATTTGGCTTCAAGACTCCTCGCCATTCTGGCCTCCGGCGTAACAAGGCAACAAAAATCCGGGGCACTTGGAAGATGGCAGGTTTCCACCTTCCAAGTGCCCCGGAATTTTGTTGCATTGTTACGTCGGAGGCCAGAATTGCGAGGAGTCTTGAAGCGAAATGACCCCGATTGACAAGACCAGCAAAAGCAGCACATATCGAACTTCCCCCTTTTCTTTCCGCGGCAGACCCTCTTTTTTTTCTTGGCATCTGGCCTTTGGCTCGTTCATTTTTAGCGGAGGGCTCCTATGTAGGGTTGGGGGGCAGTGTTGGTCGAGGCCTCACAGAGCTGAGCCTGCCGGAGGTGGTCACAGCTTCAGGGGCCCGCTCCTCGCAGAGTTTGCTGCGCCTGCCGCACAGCTCAGTGCATCGGCGCCGGCCGGTGCACAGGCTGCGCGGGGACCTGCGCGAGGGCGATGTCCGCTTGTGTCCTTCATCCCCACCCCTCTGGGGACCCCCCACCCCCCTCTCCCTGAAGGTATGGGGGATTGTCCTTCAAGGGGAAGCCCAAGATGGCCTGTCCATTTGATTTGTTCTTTAGAGCCCAAAAGGTCTGGAGCCTTTTGGAAAGGATGGCAAGCGATTGGACAGGTTTGGGGCCACAACAGATTATTGTTTGACTTCCTTTCTCCTTTCGACGGTCCTTGGGCGGCAACGGCAGT